AAAAAAAAAAATCGATTTTTGCGACCCAAATGCCGACGGCAAATCACCAATGAGTTTGCATATTTTCATAGCTTTCACATATTTATTAGTTAACAAATCTACCTTTTGGATTTAAAGCATTCCCTGGCATATATTTTCGAAAATTAATTTTCATTAATTAAACCAAGAATTTTCATCTTTTTTTTTATTAAATCAATGCAGCGAAAAAGAAAATCCAAACCAAAGCACTTAACATTGATACAAATTAACAAAATTGTATCTCCGCTCAGCTCTGTTAACTTGCCGCTCAGATCTGTTAATTTTCCGCTCTCAATTTTCGATTCGAGTGGTGAGCTTCCAGAGCGATTTTGGTAGTGTTTGACAATTCACACGGCTATTCGTAATTGCTGCTTCTCTGTTTTAAACGTTCTCTGGGATTCGCTACTGAGAAAGTTAAGAGAAAGCAAAAGTGAAGAAAACTACAGATTTTTCAAGCATTGCTTTCCCGAATTTTCCAATAAATTTGCCTTAAATCTTTCCGCAATTGGCCATAATTAGTATTGTAATCGATACGCCAAATATATTTCTTCAGCCGTTTAAATAAAAGAGTTTTAAAAATGGATGAAGCCCGTGATGAAAGCCAGTTCATAGTGGACGACGTAAGCAAAATAATTAAGGACGCAATTGAGAACACCATCGGAGGCAACGCCTACCAACATGACAAGGTAAACAACTGGACTGGTCAAGTTGTTGAGAACTGCCTAAGTGTGCTTACTAAGGAGCAGAAACCATACAAGTATATTGTTACATCGATGATTATGCAAAAGAATGGCGCCGGTTTACATACAGCTAGCTCATGCTATTGGAACAACGACACTGACGGCAGCTGCACTGTTCGCTGGGAAAACAAAACTATGTATTGCATTGTATCGGTATTTGGCCTGGCTGTTTAAGACTCAACAATGATGAGCAATAATGAGCCAAAAAAGTATGGTTCCAGCCAGGGGAGGGTATAGACCTTTTAAGTGTTTTTCGCGGATATGTAAAGACGAAAAATTAAAGCAGTAATTGCATAAAAACTCGAAACAGTTTAGCGATTTTCCAATAAAATGTTCTGCAAAGCTATTAAAATTATTATATTATCACATAAATTTACATTGGCTTCAAACAAAAGAAAATATGGTAGTTGTTTTTCTAGCTTCTCAAGTTATATACGATATAAATAAAAATTTCAGTAGGGCCTTATTCGTTAAAAATAAATACTACATACAAATTTGATTAGATTTATGTACGATTTAACATAATGGGCTACTGGCATACAAGAAGTACTCAAATGCTATATACATATATATAACACAATATGTGGATAAAAGAGTAATGTATAAACGCAGAATATTTTTTTATGAAAGTTTCGATTAAATGTATTTGAGCGAATACCTTATATTAATGCAAACCGTTTTATAGAAATTCCAATAAATGTAATTTTCGTTCTAACAGTAAAATTTGTGTGCTTGGATAATGCCATTCATTTTTGCAGCCACATACATAACTACTTAAGGAAGGATTAACATAAATAAATTCGAACAAAATGTGCACCAATAAAGTATTTCGTATTAGTTTAATTGCAATGATTGATTGCCTGGTATGATTTATGGGATTTGGATTTTGGTCTTGACTCCTTCTATCCTATAGTTTCTGAATAAAGCAGAATGATGCTTTGCATTGATGCATTTGTAAAAAAGGGATATTCACTTGATTATATTGTGGCATACATATGTATGTGTGCCTATATATTTGGTTTAACTTTTGCTGGTAAGAGAGTAAATTTCTTAAAATGACGCATTGATTCCATTTAATATCTTCAATTATTCCTTTTGACTTACTTTGTATTAACATCCCAATCCGTTTACATAGGCAAATGCACATGCACATTCATTTCTACTTACATACATACATTTATATTTAGGTAGTATTCGTAGATTATGCCTATGAATCATGCCGTAGTAACTTTTGGATATTGCTTTTAGCTGTGGCTTCGTGGTTTTTTTTGGCCTTGACCTTAAGAAATGAGTGATGAATAACAAATCTATATACATATATGTATGTATATGTACATACATACATATTTACAAAGCACGGATATGAATTAAATAAGTACATATTCCGCATGGATACCCGGATAATTTTTTAACTTATGTATGTTATTTTATTTTTTATAATGGTGGTGTTTTTTTAAAGAAACTATACTATAGTGTATTGCTTTCTACACTAACGATGTATATTATACCACCAATGTAAATTGAATCAGTGTACGCAATTAAATAGATGTTTTTTTTTAGAGGAATTATATAGTATTGTATTGTTTCCTAAACTAAAGCCATATATAGGTGGTATAAAATTGTATTGCTTCCGACACTAAAGCCAAACATACAATGGTGGTATAAAATTGAATCAGTGCCCGCAATTAAATATATTTTTTTTTTTAAGAAACTATATACTACAGTGTATTGCTTCCTACACTGAAGCCATATATTGATGGTATAAAATTGAATCAGAGTTCGCAATTAAAGATTTTTTTTTTACGAAATTATATACTGTAGTGTATTGCATCCACTCTATAAAGCCATATATTGGTGCTATAAAATAAAAGTGTTCGCAATGATATGGCTTTAAAACAGATTCTTATTTTAAACAGCAAGCCTTCCAAATGCACATATATGATATGGTGCGCCGAATGTATCTAGACTCTTTTAAAGAGTGCGTGAAATAGTAGCTTTATAGAGCTCTTTAATTACATTTTATTTTTTATGAATTAGGCCATAAGATAAGTAATTTTTGAGCAAAAAACACAACCGACTTGATGATGATATAATCGGATCTAAAGTATTAGTATGGAACCACCCTCGAGTTATCACCTTTCCGATGGAAAAAAAAAATCGAAATGGGTTCACGTGTTCCAAAGTTATGCGACAACATAGATAAAAAAAACAGCAATATTCCCACGAAATGGTAACCCCTTCCTTTTTTGAAGTAGGTTAATAAAAACACCGCGTTTTTTTTGTCACTTCACAACTATGTATATATTTTTACATACCATTTTGCAAGTGAATTGTAACAATATTTAAAAACTGTATTTACATATGCGTTCTTACACTTATGTTTGTGGCAGATCACTTTCTCGACTTTCTACTTAAACTTCCTGGTAAAGTTGTAACTTTGCTAGGTAATCTCAAAGTCAGCAGATCTGTTTTTGGTGCTCGACAAACATTCACAATGTGGGCGAACTTCAGCAATTTTTGCTTTGAAACGCCTAGCTCTTGCGACAGCACATTTAAATCCACACTGAAGTTTTCGCTGATAATAGTAGCCATTACTATGAAATAACACAAGGCCTTTTCAGAAGTGTGTGGGGTGCGAGAACTAAAAAAAAGTTAAAATTTTACTGAAGTAGTAAAATAAATTAATTTCTGCATAATGTAATCTTACAAAGGTTTGGAATTAGGATCAGAAAAACGTGTGCGAACATCATTCTCTGCTTTTTCTGTTATACCGGAAAGTTCGACGGATTTCAGTGAACGTGCACGAGTTTTAAGCAAACTCAGCAAACAATCCATGTAGATAATTAATTTCAAATTTAAAAATCCCTCTGGTGTAGGAGTGCTATCTTGTATCTGTTTAACGCATTTGCATAAGAACTCTGATTGTAAGCTGTAAAGTAACAAAAAGTTATAAGAGCAAAATTTTCAGCAAGATTAAAAAAGTTACGGCAATTTGTCCACGGGCGTAGAATATACTACTTTCGACTCTTCATCCAGTCGATCTAGCAGTTCACCGGGCACAATATCGTGCACATTATAAACTTCTTCCAATTTCTTTGCATCTTTATTGAATTTTGGACGCAAAATATCGAAATTATGCTCCGTGTTTGGCTTTTCCTCAACTTGGCCATTTAAATCGGTCTCGCGTACAGTATTTTCCAAATCATTTCTAAGCACATCGACGTTAATCTTATTAGTTTCTTGATTAGCAGCAAAACGCGCTGCTTTTCGACCGCCAAATTGTTTCATTAGGACCGCTTTAGTATGCTCAGCTGTCAAGGTTGGTAGAGGCTTTTGTTCAAGGGTGTTGTAAATGTGATTGCTAAGTGTAGCCTGCTCTATGGGTATAATGCGCACCTATTCAAATATAATCTGGGTTATTAAACGATATTAGATCATATACCAATAAATTACTTTGTTTGTAATTTTATTGCGCACGCAGATGTAAGTATCTGTGAGTGCAGGTGCTTCTCCGCCATCAACGACACCATGATAGATTTGGTCCTTGGCAGTGACCATTGCGACTTTTACTGGTGATTTACCACTTTTTTGCAATAGCCGACAAAATTGGGTAGCGTGCTTGCTGACAGCAGCCAATTGGCCATTTTGGAAATTCACTAAAGCAGAGTGATTTAATCAATTTCCCTTATAAAACAAATGATATTAATAGTGAAGGAATTCTTACGCAATGTTGGCATCGATGCGGTACGCTTACGCGCATATACTTTTTCAATAGTGGCCTTTTCTTTCATGACTTCTGTAAAAATTTAATGACTCCAAAAAACTAAACAAATGAACACTAGGAATGTCGGAAAAATATCGATGCATCGAAAATATCGATGTTTTGCTTCGATGCATCGAAAATTTTCCACTCGATGGGCGTGTGTGAATCGGTAGCAAAGTTCTATGGGGAAAGCTGTTGAATAATATTTGTACTATGGTGAGACAGTTTTGCCAATCTGCTGTGTGAAATGAAATCTTTTTTGACAGCAGTAAATTTTTCATAACCGCAGATTTATGCGCAATAAACTATTACAAATTTAGTGAAATTAATATTTTAAGAAAACATCTACCATCATTGATTGCAGTTCATCAACTTAAGCTTTTATTTTACGAAAAATTACACACAGCAGCAATCTTTGCAATTGTCAAAATTTTCTATGCATTTGTCAAAAATTTCACTAGCCCTATGGGCTACTGAAATTTTATTCACCTCAAACTTGTCAAAAATTTACTTGCCGCGAACTTTGTTACCGATTCACACACGCTCGATGTATAAATTGTCGATGTATCGATGCATCGATTTTTTTGAAAACTTAAGGCGCTGGCCCAATGCATTCTTGCTTTGCGCGCCTTGCTGACTTCATTTTGCTTTGATTTACTTTGAAAACTTGCTTGGCCGAATGGTGGCTTGGAACGCCGTCAAAGTAACCAGCTGTCTGGTTGAAAAGTCAATGTCTGTTCCCTGAACGTTAATAACACCTGATTTACATGATTCAAGTACTTGAAAGCAATTCTTGCTCATTCTCTTTTGTGTTTTTTATTTGCTTTTACACGTTTCAATTCTGTTGAATTCAAGTCTTTGGTTCTTTAAATGTGAAGCAACGAAAATGCCAAAAGCAAAGCAAGAAAGTTGAAACGACTTGACGGTACAGACGAATGTGTACTCGTCCCTTTTCTTCTCACCCCCTCTCTTCCATGTCCGAGCAGAATTGAATTCAATACTTGAACTGTGTAAAAGCACACTAATTATTTCCTAGAAAATTCTAAAAAATGTATCAGAAACTTTCAGATTTATTTTTAAATTAATGCGAAATAATGTTTGTATTTAAAAGAAATGATAATAATGATACACCCATATCTATATCTACATTTACTAAAAAAAAACTATAACTTAAAAAAGCGATTTACTTGAAGAAAAGGGCTATAAGAAGTTTTTTCCTCTCGTGTAAAATTTGTAAAAGTGGGCTTTGCAACTTTTTACTATAAGATAACGATATGTTAAATATAAATATGGAAACAATGACTCATTTTTATTTCATTTCGAATTACCTGCGTTTTCTGTGACTTTTTTAAATTAACCCTGGCATTCAGTAAGCGGTCTCTAAGCACTAATAGTGACTTTTGGTGGTGAACTTGGATTTTGAAAATATTTGGTATTCAGTACGCTGCCTCACGTCTCTAGTCTAAAAAAAATCACTAATTTGTCAACTGGGTAAGAGCAGGTCTCAAAAACAAAAATATTTAGAAAAAGTTAATTGCTTTCCATTTTATTAAAAAAAACTCGAATATGAAGCGAGAAAATTTTTCAATAAGAATTTCGTTAGAAAATAAACCAAAATGCTTTAATATCATACAAAAATATATATATTTTTTAACATTAAAATCTAAAGATTATAAAAAATAAAACTAATTAAAAAAATGCTAAATAAAAAAAATATAAAAATGGCTCTACGCCCGAGGAGTACTCGAACCCAGACCCTCTCGAACGGCATCCTAATGCTTTGACCACTCGGCCATTGCGATTCTTCGGGCGGCGCGGCAAAAGGCATACATAAACGCTATCAGTTGACTGTCTGTGGTTGTTTTCACCACACATTTTTGGTAAACTTTTTGTGACTCTCTCCTGCTGAATAGCCCAATCATCTCAAGTCACAAAAATAGTCACTAATTGTTAATCTCAAATTTAGTGACTTGAGATGAGACTGAATTACTGAATCCCAGGGTTAGAGCACAACTCCACAACAAGTAACCCCCTGGGGTTACTCTGTAATACGATGCAATGCGATAGGAAAATACATCGTAAGTAATACCCCGTGTCGATTTCAGCTATGCAATTCAGCTATCGCTGAAAGCCTGAAAAGCACGAAACGCTTTAGGCTTAGCTTTGTTATAAAATTAAGAGCAAAGATCCTTTTTTTCGTGGCTGTTTGAGTCTTTAATTATTATTTTTGCATGTATATTAATTTATAGAATTGACACATGTATTAACGGGGTTGCATCGGGATGAACGCAGTTTGGCTCCCGCTAACGAACTCTCAATTTTCTTGCATTCGAAGAGAGATATATTTTTGGTGGACATTTGATCGCATACCTTTACATTGCGAATCTGTTGTAAATTTTTTATAAATGTTGCGAAAATTAAGAATATTGCCCTAAACTCGTAAAATCCTGGTAAAAGAACGGTCAAAACTTATATAGAGCCCAGTTTACGCGCCTCGTAAAATTCCGAGGCAAATTCGATGCGTAAACGACCGAGTTAATTATTAAATAAATAAATAAGTATATAGAATTTAAAACGAAGAGAAAAAAACTTAGGCCCAATTTCAGGTGGCCTATTTAAGTAGATTGTTGATTAACTTCAAAAATTCATTTTCAGATCATACATTTAGGGCCATTTACTCAAAGCCTATTTCATTTATGTCCGCCATTCCCCACACCGTACGATGGGCATTCGCATCGGATCCTACTATAAGCGGTTGCTTCCCATCGCCAGCCACTTGTACTAGCCTATGAAGCTCCCTCGACGGTATGTCGTTGTCGTGGGGCATGTAGCAAGGCATGATTCAATAATACAAGGTTCGATAAACTGACAGTTGTCTCTCTCGCACCGCTCCCTTAGCAGTGGCACCGTGTTGCTTCTTTGCAAATTTACAGGGAAACAGTGTAGCTTTGGTGTGAAATAAAAGTATAAGCTTTTGTGCAATATGTTTATTTGTATATGCATATGAAGCATATTTAACCGATGAAAACCTAAGCATTGGATCAATCTCATAGTAGTCTTATTTTAATTTTGAGTTATTTTGCAGTTTTTATACGGCTAAATAGCATATAAATTACGTAATTCACGTAGATATATCAATATTACGTTCAACATTTCGTTTAAAATGCCAGATTTCCTGCAAATACATTAGAATTTACGAAAGGAATTTCACTACTAATTGCCTACTTTGCGTACTTTTCTACTACCATTTTCGAAACAAGGGATTGCATTCTTGCCCTTTCTCTGTCCTTCGTAAATGCAACCTTTTGTAAGGGAGTGTCAAACCGCAGCTGTCAATAATTGTCTAACCTTGTATTACTGAATCATGGTAGCAAGGCGCAACGGGCAGCGATTCATCGTAGACCAGCGTTGCCAACTTTTCAATTTCCAAAAGCACCAAAACTTGGAAAGAAAAGCGTTTTTCAACACTAAAAGCACTAAAAAGTAAAAAAATGGACAATATTCAAAACTTTTTCGCTCATAACGATTGAATAGCCTCTACACATGCTATTATGATGCATGCTTACGAAATAATACCAAAGTCCTGCACATGAAAACTAGTATATCACGAGAAAGAAAAATCTTATCACAACAAACGAAAATGAAATTTAAAGGGGAAGAGTAAGAAATGAGCAAAAAAAAAAAATTGTTTTTCATAATAGAACCTCAAATATGGCGAAACCCGTGTTTTTGGCACTTTGAGGTTAGGGTATCTTTTGACGTGCTGGAGAAATTCTGCATCCAGATTTGGATTCAGCACCAAAAAATCTACAAGAACCGATAAATATTTCAAATTATTTCATGTTTCATATACATATATACATTTGAGAAATCTGAGTTCAGAAAAAAAGCACTAAAAAAGGCACCAGGCACTAAACCATTTCTTTGGGCGTTTTAATTTTCAAAAAGCACTAAATCTAGTGCTTAAAGCACCAAGTTGGCAACTATGTCGTTGACGTCGTTTAGCGTCACAACCGTCAAGTGCCGTTCTTACCTTACCATGCGTGTTGGGAACATATGTAGCTTAGTTTTCCGACTTGAGGCCAAAAACTAGGCTGCCCAAAGGGAGTCATGCTTCCTGGACTAAAGCTGCATCGTAGCCGGCCCCCTGTAAGTTGAGGAGAAGCTCGCCTGAGGCTATTTTACTTTTATGGAGATTTATTTGAAGGACCTTAAGCATTAAGTTGGATGCAGTGTCCAGCTCAGTCGTCCCCACGTTACGTAGGTTGAGAGACGACTGTAGGATCTATTTGGTGCTGAGATCCTTCTCCGCATGTTCCAGTTTTATTTTGCGAGGGGGTGGGACCTTCGCTTTCGGGGTCGACGGATCTCGCTGCGATCTACTATCTCGAGGTATGGAAGGGGGCATTGGATGTCTTTCACCACTCCCTATGCTGACAAGGGGTAATACTTACAACTTATGATTTGACGCCGCTGAACCTCCCTGCCCGTGAAATGTCGACATAGATGCGTTCGGTTTCGCGTCCCTTGTCGCGAATAACGCTTCAAGCAGCTGCATTTCCACTACCTTCCACCTCTCTTGCGTCATCTGCTATTGCGTTCGAAGAGCGCCACGAGCAGATGTCGCTTGGCAATCAAATTGGCCGCCGCTGCTGCCTTGGATGTAGGGGGAAGCTGTATGACGTTTGGCCTCGCAGCCTCGTCTTTACATTTCTGTTTCTTTATAGGCTTTACTGCCTCTTCTTTCACAGACCGCTGCCTTTTGCTCAAGCCTACATTTTCTCCTTCTCCTCATTCTGGTTGGTCTTGTCGATAAGTCGGTCGCAGATCTTGACCACAACTGTATATCGCACCTAAGCCTTCAACCCCTCTTTGCCTGACCTCGTCCTCGGTATCTTCCTCCGTTCCGCGCTTAGGCTAACCGCGCTTTCCTGGCCCGAGTCTTTAAGGTATATGGCACTAGTGTGTGGCAAGCCGTGTCTGGCAGTAGTTCTACAATCATTTTAATTCTTTGGACCCTTGTGTAGCACATAATAATCTCTATATTCAACAAAAAAAAAGAAGAAAACAATCGAACCGCATGGTCCTTAAATATACGCAGTGAAATAGAGTGACGCTATGTGACAAAAATGAAAGTTGATTTCTTTTTTTCTTACAACATCGCAAAGTTCTGCGAAGTGTGCATGGCTCTTTTCATGAAACTTGTTTTAATATGATTTGGAGTAATTCTAGTTGTTTTTGGGACACGGCAGCGGCCATACAAGAAAAAAGGCAGCGTTTTAGAAATGGAGAAATATTTACAGCTACCCCTTATACACAGACAAGAAGATCCTTTAATGTGGTGAAAGCATAGCCGCAATGAATTTCCAAATTTGTTTACACTGGCAATGAAATATCTTTGCGCATCATCATCCTCAGTGAACCCAGAACGAGTGCATCGGGTAGCATTTATGTTGAAAATCGAAAGAGGTTGTTGCCCGATAATTAGGAAATGTTTCTTTTCAAAATGAAGGAAATAAAAAATTGTTAACTTTAATCAGACCTGTTAAATAATGATTAATAGTCATAATGATTATTAATTCAATCATGTTTTTTTTGGTAACCATTTAATGATTTGCACCATTTTAATGATTAATAATCAATTATTTAAAAAAAAAAATTAATGAATTGATTCATTAATTTTAATTACATAACTGTTTTGTTATTTTTGATTATTTTCAGTTATTTTTGAAATTTTTTAATTACATGATTAATATAATTACTTGCTTATTTTCAATTATTTTTGATTTATTTCTTAATTGCATGATTAATATAATTATTTGATTATTTTGAATTTGTTTTTGATTTTATTAATTATATGATTAAAATAATTATTTGATTATTTTTGATTATTTTTTGTTTTTTTTTTTAATTTTATTTCAATTTGTGAATAATATATTGTACAATGTTCGGGGATGAAATTTCTGTGGTTAATGCTGTAGTGTATATATATATTGTTTTAAGTTCATTATATGCTGTTTTTAGGTCAAAAGAAGTACAAAAAATCTAAAATTTTATTTATTCAATATGACCTTCAAAATGACCATAAAAAGTAAACTTTTTGATTTTTTATCTTTCTTTTGACCTAAAAACAGCATGCAACGAATTCAAAAAAATATAAAAAATGCTTTTTTCGGTTCCTGCTACTATAGAAAAGGATTCCTTGATGCAAGAACATCAAAAATATCTGTTTAAAACTTTTTAAAAAGTTCGCCTCATACTGTTTTCAGGTAAAAAACACAAGTTCATCTATTTGGGAAAATAATTAAAAAAAAAATCATATAATTAGAAATAATCAAATAATTGAAGATAATCTAATAATCAAAAACAATCAAATGATTAAAAACAATCAAATAATTAAAAATAATCAAACAATTAAATATAATGGAATAATTAAAAAAAAAAATTGATTAATTTTGATTATTTCTAATTATTTGATTATTTTTGATTATTTTCTTAATGGCAATTAATCATGATTATTTTTGATAATTATAAATAATAATTAATTATTAAGGGCTGGGTTATGTCAGAAAATTAAAATAATCATCAAAATTACAAAATGCAAAAAAAGTAATGATTACTAATCGTAATGGAAATTTAACAGCTCTGACTTTAATTACTAATTGGATACTACTTAATTTTATTATACAAATAAAAATAAAAAATTCTGAACTAGATCTTTAAACTGAATCTTCTATATTCAATATCTGGAAATTCGGCCGGATTTTAGTCAGTATGCGGCCGGATAGTCGGATAACAGAAAAACGGCTGCATAAGCCGGATTCCGTATATCTACCGGATACCCAGCACATCCCTATTTATTATGCTTCAACTTCAAGACCATACTTCGCAGAAATGTTTATACTTACATAGCAAGTATATATATATAAAAAAGCAGACGAATTGGCCCATAAATACGTTAGATATATGAATTTTATTTTATTTTTTTTTGTCGCGGTAGACCTTAACCCTCTATTAAGACATATTTATTTAAAATTTATGTAGATTTTGTCATGGTATCGGTATTAGTAAAACCAAATCCACTTAGGGTGTAGTGTTTACTTTTTACAATGTGCACCACTTGCTGTAAAAAAATAAAGAAATTATAAGTAATAATCAATTGGAAATTAAACTCTTGTGAACTCACTAGCACCAGTTTAATTAAAAACACTGCAAACGTTAAAAAGTTAATGCTAATTAAGGCTGCCTCCGGCGGAAAATTGAGGTTGGATTCATCCAATAAACCACGTTTGCGCCGCATATGCACTTTTGGCGTCCAAATCATATGGAACTGATCCTCTGTTATAAGAGATTAAGTTGAAACCAAAATATAAAGACCAACATTTTTTCTTTCAAAAATTTTACCAATCATGCGCATAATTTTATTTTTCAATCCTTTCAATTTCTTAATCTTTTGTTCGATCGTCAATCTCGATTGCCTAACCCAGTTACGCTGCACAGTTCTTATAAAATTAAGAAATCCTTGCATTGATGGGTATTGTATGCCAGTAATGACATGTGGAAAAATATTTGTATTGCCCTCTTTAGATCTCATATCATCTGCTTCCCCTTCGTCCTCCTCATCATGGCTGATCTCTTCTGTGTCCTTTGGTTCATCACCATTTGAAACTTTCTCACCAGCAGCCATACCATAACTTTTAAGCGGTTGTGTTGCCATTGCTGCCGAAATCTCGCTCGGTTTTAAAGGTGGCGACGTTGGATCTATTATGCCGGCTTTATTTTTTAGCAGTTGCGAAGCTGGATCAAGCAATTTCTTCAAACTTTCTATATCTTTTGTGTTGCCAAAGCGTTCACGTTGATATTCTAGCCATTCTGGACTAGGTGTTGTCATATCTTCGTTAGAGGGGTGCTGATTGGGTTTCTTGGCCTCAGTGTTGTTTGCTAACGCTACTTTATGGGCTTGAAGTCCAATTGAAATTATAAACAATAGAGCACGTAAGTGTAAAGCTAACATTTTGGTGCGTCCAAAGCTGTCGAAGAACTGAAAGAAATATTCATTCCAGTGCATGAAGATTACATTGAGCTAAGAGTTTCAATTTAGTGCATACAATCGTTTCTTTTATTTTTGTTCTTTGTGGGTGCGTTACAGACATTTATTTCATGCCTCATGATTTTTACATATAATGTACATATGTAGATATGTATGTACAATATGTGACTTGCAATTTTAAGAATGTCAACCGTTGCATACGAATTCACAAGTAACAAATATTACTGTTTTTCCTAAAAGAACCAGCGAAATTTCCAACATAAATACATATGTATGTATATGTACATTGGGGTGGTGCAAAAACAGTAAAGTCGGAATTGTAAGATTTTTTCTATATCGAAAAAAAGTACACCACTATTTTTTATTTTGAAATCAAAAAATATTTAGAGGTCGCTCAAAGCGCTCAAAGTTTTCCATGTCTATATTTGCCTACTATTTGAAAAATTTAATTCAGTTAAATTGATAAGAAAAGGTACATAGATATTGACTTAGTTACCATTTGAGGAAAGCGCGTGATAAGTAGACTCGAGTTATAAGACCATAAATTAAATTCGCATGAGAAAGTCGATACTAAGTCTAAGTACTTTCGAAAATATGAGTAACACCCACATCTCAATTCGCAAGGCTTTTTAAATTCATTTTTTTACGAATGGAACCATAAGAGTGTTCGAAGGGAGTAATAACACAAAAATACTTTTAAGGTGAAGTGAAGCATGCCGGGTATTTGCTAAAAAATAAAAATATAAATTTTCGTGTTAGAATATTTACATACAAATATAATTAAAAAAAACCAATTTCTTAACTTTTGCTTAACAGCAAAGTTACCAATATTTATTTCGAAAAATAAAGATGAGCATCATAATAATAACAGTTTATTTCATAAGACGGATCTTAGTGATCTTAAAAGTTTTACATACTAAGGGGATATATAGCACAGAACATACATATGTAGTTATTTATGTATTTATATGTAAAATTGTTATTATGCTAACGTACATACATATGTACATATTTTAAGTTTTGTATGGACTACATATGTTGAGTTATTGAATTGTAGAGAAAAATTTAGCACAATAGTTCAGTTGTTTTAAGCTTTGTCTTTACTTGGCAAACTAACTACACATGTTTATATGCTTACATATACATATACATATGTATGTTCATCCATACATATGGTATGTACAATGCACATACATACATATGCACAATATTTTTGAATAATTACGATATTATATAGTTGGATTAAATTGATTCGTGTTTCCCGTAAACTCTTACTTATGCAATTTTTATAAGTGCTATATATTACGTAAGTATGTATGTATATAATAAATTACAATTCCATACGAAGATCGTGTAAGGTACTGTTTAGAGGAAAATTCTTTAAAAAATTCTATATAGTTACATACACAGTCCATAGTTGTGACCTATCAAAGTACAGTGAATCGCTACACTCACACATCCAGATGTACACACATATATATATATATATCGATTCTTTATGTCATTTTTTATTATGTAAAGGATTTTTGTTTGTTTTTTGAAGAGACTAACTTTACTCAATTGGGGGCACTGAGGAGCTTTTAAGCTATCTATGCACGAATGTATGTAGATATACTGTTATGTGTAAAATATTAAGACCATCAGAAAGTTCTTCAAATATTGACTACTTATTTAATCCGCAATTGTAAAAAAACTTAACTTAAATTAAAATTGTTTATAATGTGATTCTCGCAGCGCAACACTTTTTTGTCTTTTATTGGCTCCCTAACCCGTTGTTGTGCATTTACGATGTTGCGCTTAACGGAAAACTTAAAAGTTCAACATTAAAAATTACGCTAAATCAATAAAACGAGCTTAAGTATTATATGATACACATTTTAATCGAAATGCATATTGCATACATATGTAAGTAGTATGTATGTAAGTTCTAAAAGCTTAAACTTAACCACCAAAATTTTATTTGACGGTCTTAATATTCTGCACATGACTGTACATATAAACATAAGTTTTTACATTATTATGTAGTACGTTTTATATATATGTAATAGAAGTACTTATATAACTTAGGCCAGTTTTTCAGAGCACGTTTCAACTTAGATCACATACTCGTAAACTGCGTTTATGTGTATGTATTTAATAGCTGGCTGACAATGAAATTTTGGTTTAAACCATCTAACTCCAGCGTATAAACCAAGTTTAAGCCATGGTCCGATTTGACCATGCAAAAGCTCTGTTTGAGCTAACTTTGGGGTTTGTCTTACTATTATTATTCTATAATTTGGAGTTTGCTTTTTATTTAATTTAAAACTCATTTCACATTTCGACATAAATGGCCACGCATCCATTTTATGGCCTTATCGCCAATAGCTTCTACTTTCAGTGTACCGGGTAAACTGCGACAACCACAAGCTTCCGCATCGATGTGCTGATGTTGCTGCGTTGGTTCTTGTATGGATAATTTTTGGCGGGGATTTGTACGCCGTGGTTCGTTGGTTGACATTAGTGCTATTTGTTGTTGTTGCAGTTGCTCGTGCTCTTTTTTTTGCAATTTATCCTCTTCTTCCCTGACTTCTTCTCGTATATTGGTATTGTTCTCTCCGCCACCAGGTCACATGTCACCACTACTAGCCCATCGTATATCGTCCGCTTCGTGCGTTAAATAACGTGTGCCCACCTGACCCTCCAAATTGCGCAAATCTCTATAGGTTTGTTTATCTTGTAGCCAATAATGTTGTAAACTTTTATCGACAGTATAGCGTTTACGCTGTTTCACTTGCAGCAAATTGTTGATGAGGTCGATGGCTGAAAGGATAGATGAAAGTTTTATATGCGTACTGAAGTTAATTACACTTGTTTATAGCTAAAATGGTTTATTAATGCCACTATCCAATTCCTATGTAGAATTGCTTGGTGATTCCGAAAGTTGAGTTAATTTTTTTCTATGGATACCTTTTTTTTAGGTATTTTCAATTCACCGTCATTCAGCTTAAAAAAAAAGTGGTTCCACTCAATAGAGTATATCTTACGAACCAATCGAACTATTTTGTGATGAAGTACGGCAATTAAAAGCGCACGAATTTCTCAATAAACTGTAAATACATCACTTTTCCATGCGCCTTATAGTTTCTCAAAAATTAATTAATCATTCCACTTTTTTTGTGCTTTTTTGAAAAAAACCAAATTTAACAGGGAAAAAATTTAAAAAGTAATGGATTCTGTGCAATTTTTTTGCAAAAAAAATCAAGCCCTAATGAAGAAATAGATGGATGAATAAAGATGGAATGAGTGGTCAAATGAAAATGCGCAAAGATTTATTGTGTGAAAAATGAGCAGGAAAGAATGTTACTCATAGGCCATGAACACCTGGGAAACACCATGTTCTCAGAAATCAAGAATTATCGGAAATTTATGTATTTACGCCCTGCAAAAAATTGTGCGACTAATCTCTAAAGAGAGTATTCCGAGATTACTCTCAATCGGGTACAATTGGGCATTAATTAGTCCCATCTAGTCTCATAAGGGTACTAATGGAGGTCAATTAGTCCCGACTCATCCCTTATGGGTATACTTGGAGATCAACTAGTCCACAACTCATCTCTAACGGGTACTATTATTATTATTATTTAATGATATGTACGCACTTAGTCAATGAAATTTCATGTGCGGCGTTGGCACGCAGAGATAGTATTCGCCTAACAAAACTGAGCGCCCCGGCTCGAATCTCAGATGGCGCAAATTTTTATTTTTATTTTTTTTTAAGTTACTAGTCGCTTTTTATACCCGTTCTGGTATAAAGGGGAACAATTAGTCTCTTCATAGGACATGCTCGAACAAAAGCGATCAGTTCATTCCATATAAAGAGGTCAAAAGTGGTATTAGTCGCATGCTCCTTTGCGATTGCTCCCGAAGTCATCCCGGATTAGTCCAATTTTTTGCAGGGCGGTTTATGAAGAATTTTGTTGGCTTTCATTTGCCGTATTTCGTATTAAAATTGTTAAATTGGTGCGCAAGATATACGTGGAACCACTATTTTATTAAGCTGAATAACGGTAAATGGCAAATATCTCGAAAACTTATCCATAGAAAAAGATTTGCTTGATTGTTGGAACCAACGAGCAATTCCACACAGGAATGGGATAGTAGTAGGTGAATGAAAAAAATATAAAAGTTTGTGATCCATTGTTCTTAACATATTTCGTGTTATACCATTAGAGGAGATCTCCTTCCATGGATTTGGCGGATACATAAAAGCGGCATTTTGTATCTGATCATTTATGTCCTCCTCTTCATTGAAGGGGAACGTACCGCTGAGGCTGACATAAATAATAACACCAACACTCCACATATCCAGTGAACGGTTGTAGCCTTTGTTGCGGAGCACCTCAGGAGCTGTAAGGGTAGAATAAAATCATTAAAACTTGAAAACCGAAAACGTGCTTCCAAGAGCTGAAGTTAACTACAGTTGAATTCCTCTATAATGAAGTTGTTTGGGACCGCTTAGCACTTAGTTGTAAAGGAGCTAAAAATTTGCTTGCTCGGGCAGGCATCATGAAAGTTTTTTTTTTTTTAAATTAGTGATTATCTTAGTTGCTTTTTTGGGGTTTTTTGTAAAAACCAGTAATAATGTTACTTTAAGAAAAATTGGGGAAATTGAGAGAGAACTCTGTTGCAGTGCTTTTAAAATGGATCATTAAGGAGAAGTTATTTTTAAGAGAAAGCATTTTGCCTTCTTGCAATACTTCGTAACAGAGAGGAATTCGTGACAAAGCAGTTCCAGTAGAGAATTCCAAATTCTAATAAAAAACTTTCGCATTTTCTTAAAAAAGCGTTGTTACAGAGGATTTTTTGTTATGGGCGATTTCATTATAGAGGCGTCCGAATGTATTAGGCATAAATTGTTACACATCCATTCATTTTTACTTACCCAAGTATGCTGGTGTTCCCACAACCGACCGCCTAAAAGACTTCTCACCGATAATTCTAGCATAACCAAAATCACATAGTTTAACTTGTGGAAATTCGTTATCGGATGAGAGCAATACATTTTCCGGCTTCAAATCACAATGGACAATATTTTTGCTATGCAAATGTTTTAGCGCTATGAGTATTTGTGTAATTAGGAATTTCGTTACTCTTTCGCTAAGACGTCCACGTTCGTGCGAGAGTATCATCTCTAACATATCACCTTTAAGCTTCTCCATCACAACGAATATGCGTTCTGGCGTTTCGAACATGCGCTCTAAATTCACAACACCGCAATGAGAAATGTTCTGTAGAAAAATTTAAAATATTGCAAAACAATTAAATGAATGAAAACAGTTATTGTTTTAAATACAATCTTGAAAAAAAACGTTGGTAAAGCCACAAGGCCGTGTCAACGGGTCCACGGGACTTTTTTGGAGAACATGGAATTGAATTCGAGGCTGATGGAGCGGTCTTACCGCATTTTGGTACGTACGATTGTGTTTTACGCATCCATAGTATGGTGGAAGAATGCTGCAAAAAACGTTCGTACTACGTCTCCTTATTTTGATTCAAGAAACAGTAGCCATTATTTAGCTGCAATATCGACTATCCAACGACTACTTGTATACAAGGAAGTTTGACTCAGGTATTCTTGCAAAGATACCTGGTTTGGAAACGTAAGGAGTTTCTGGCTCCATAACCAATGAAAGTTCCAAGTGAAAATCCCAGATCGCGAAAAATTTGGAAAACGGACTCCTTGCCGTTAATCGCCGACAGGTTAGCTGCAGGTGTCTCGGCACCAAACTTGCCACCCCCTTGGTAAAATGGCACACGGTGCTCCTGCTTGAAGTCTTAGCAATCCTAACCTGCGCCAAACTAAAACTTGAAAAGGCTTCCGGGCCTATAACTGTCGAACTTTGAGATCGAACTCAACGACGCTGACAAGTTGGTGCAAGAGCGATCCTTAACTACCTTTTTAAGACCGGGACTCTTCTGCGGTTACAGGTGGTCATGGGGCGGTGGGTGGCCATAGACAGACCAAGCTCTTCCGCTACCCTTTAAATATGTAGATCGGATAGCATTAAATTAAACAGTAATTACGCAGGCACCTAACTGGTCAAAATCAACTACGATTTCATGCGCACCGAAGAGGTGTTATCGGAGAGTTGGAATGCCTTAAGGACTACTAAGGTTTCAAAGGAATCAATAGGGAAGTTGACGGTGTTTTGAGCAAGCTAAGTTTGGGAATCTTTTAGGTCACAGGTCTCTTGTTCAGACATAGCCTTGCTTTTATCTATATATCTAAATGCAACATAGTGCATCTCTCACAACTATCAGATAGGTATCTTCCGATAAATTGGCAAAAGAAGGTCAGCATTTCACCGGCTGAGCGGAATATCGCCCTATCTCGGCTGCCGGTTCGAAAACGTCCTATCTCATCTCGCGATATATTGAATTTATATTAAGAAAGAGCGATTTCGAAGCGGCGTATGAGATTATTATTATTGTTAGTACGTCGGGTATAGTCGGGCTGCGACCTAATAGATCTATTGTGCTAAACCTTAATTGTAGTCACTCAAACCTTAAGCTATTCAAGAAATTAAGCACATTGGAGAGTGCCGTGTTCCAAATCTTGGATGGAGAATATAATCGATCCCCAAGGTGTAAATATCAGTCTGATATTCATGATACGCGGGCATCACACAGAATGTGCTCTGAGGTTTACTCGGCCAGCCCACAGAACCTGCAGTCCGGCTCTGCAAAAAGCACCATTTTGTTCAGATGGTACCTTAACTTGCAGTGTCCTGTCGGGTAGCCTGTAAGAGTTTTAAGACCCACCCGGCAGAGTTCACGGAGTCTTTCTGACTTCCTTCTGGAAGGGATTATGCTTTTCTTTGATTATCTCATTCCCTTTGACTTACGTCAGTGGGCAGCAATCTGAGATTCCTCCCAACTCCTAAGCAGTTCTGCAGTGTATCGTCACAGAGTGGCTCGGGACCATGTATTCGCGTTTGCGCTCCACGCTTTGCGAGATAGTCAGCCCTTTCGTTGCCTTCAAACCCTTCATGCCCAGGGACCCACCACAGCATAACTCTATTATGGGCTCCTAGGCTATTTAGAAGAGTTTTACAACTGTCTACAAGCCTTGATGTCATTCTAAATGAGTCTAAAGCCCTTATCTGGTCTGACTATCCGACATACTATTTATTCTGGCCCCGTTTGTTCTTCTACGAAGACATTCTCGAATGCAGACTTCGATTGTGAAGACTTCCGCATGGAGTATGGTTGGATATGAGCCTATTGGCAGACTCTATTGGAACCTTGGTCCAAGCACGCCTGCCTCAGTAATCCCGTCTTCCATTGTTGATCTATCGGTACCTTTGTCAATCATAGATATTATCGCTTTACAGCAGTCCATTTGAGGAATTCTGACCTTGCAGGGCTTGTAAAAGGATAATTTCGGTAACATGATATCTGTGAGCTTGGTAGCGGGACCATCCAGAAAAGGCTTGAGAACCTCCAAGTGACCCCAAAGATCCCCCCAATCTTCATGCTGATTACATTGGGCAGCTGAAGGGCGCTCCAGCAGGCCTCCTTTGCTATCAGAATAGATAGAGATCAAGCGGTGTAGCATGCTCAAGGTGGGACCCGCACTAGCTTGCCACAAGGCTAATGCCGCATATGTGACAACAGGTACTCGACGGTACTGAAAGACCAATACGTTAGTTTGAGTGATATTCCCCAAGTTTTACCATGGAGTCTCCGACAGGCCTAAAACGCCATTCTAGCCTTGTTGGTAACGTTATGGAGATGTGAGTTCCAATTGAGCCTTTTGTCCAGAGTTACCCCTAGATACTTCGCCTTTTCTGTGAACTCAATTTCTCTCCCTGCCGAGGTGGGCTTAGTCAAGTTCTCTTTCCTTATTTTGGTAAACGGGACAATGGTGGACTTCTGCGGGTTTATTGACAATCCCTTTGAAGCACACCAGTCTATTAGTCTCAGCGTAGCTTGCAATCTGGAACAAATTGTGTCCTCATGCCAACCAGTAACCACAGTAGGGGCGATAAGACTCTCCCTTGAGGACAGCCGCGGGTGGCAGTCACTGCTTGCCTGCTGTTTCCTAGTTCGCNATAAACGGGACAATGGTGGACTTCTGCGGGTTTATTGACAACCCCTTTGAAGCACACCAGTCTATTAGTCTCAGCGTAGCTTACAATCTGGAACAAATTGTGTCCTCATGCCAACCAGTAACCACAGTAGGGGNATTAGTCTCAGCGTAGCTTGCAATCTGGAACAAATTGTGTCCTCATGCCAACCAGTAACCACAGTAGGGGCGATAAGACTCTCCCTTGAGGACAGCCGCGGGTGGCAGTCACTGCTTGCCTGCTGTTTCCTAGTTCGCATATTATAGTTCTGGATTTCAACATACTTATGATCCAATCCGTTAGAGGGCCAGGAATATCCTATCGAGATTGCTTCATTGTCAAAAGCACCTGATATGTCCAGAAATTCAAACAAAGCTATCTGTTTATACCGCAATCCCTTTTCAATTACTTGAGTTAGGCTATGTATTGCAGTAATAGTAGATTTGCCTGCCTGANCATATTATAGTTCTGGATTTCAACATACTTATGATCCAATCCGTTAGAGGGCCAGGAATATCCTATCGAGATTGCTTCATTGTCAAAAGCACCTGATATGTCCAGAAATTCAAACAAAGCTATCTGTTTATACCGCAATCCCTTTTCAATTACTTGAGTTAGGCTATGTATTGCAGTAATAGTAGATTTGCCTGCCTGATATGCGTGTTGACTCTGACATAGAGGCTTATTCCTGAGAAAGTTATCCCTTATNGATATTATAGTTCTGGATTTCAACATACTTATGATCCAATCCGTTAGAGGGCCAGGAATATCCTATCGAGATTGCTTCATTGTCGAAAGCACCTGATATGTCCAGAAATTCAAACAAAGCTATCTGTTTATACCGCAATCCCTTTTCAATTACTTGAGTTAGGCTATGTATTGCAGTAATAGTAGATTTGCCTGCCTGATATGCGTGTTGACTCTGACATAGAGGCTTATTCCTGAGAAAGTTATCCCTTATGTGAAAGTCAATAAGTTTTTCTTTGTCTTTACTAGAAAGGAGCTGAGGCTAATTGGCCTATACGCCTTTGGGAGTTGTGCTGAGTTTTTCCCCACTTTGGGTATAAAGACCACTTTGACATCTCTCCGTGTTGCTGGTATGTGAGCAAGTAAGAGACTTGCTCTCAGCAATCTAAGTAGTGGTCCAGATATTAAGCCCAAGCTCTGCTACAGCAGGCATAGGTAAATGCCATCTGGAACAGGGGACTTGAGATATAATGTATTTGAATCAAATTCTGAGATAGGGCGATCTTCGACTTATACGACCATTTCGTATCGTGGGGGGACCGAGACCACTTTGTGGACTCTGCTGCTTTTCTTTAGACTTGTAATGAGGGGCTAAACTCAAAACGAAGGAAGACATTCTTTGATGCCGAAAACCCGTCGGCCGGCATACAAAGACTAATGACTTATCATTTGATACAGTCGATCCCTTAAGTATAAGAAAATCATCTACTAAGTCAGTTTTTACATTAATTTAGTTATCTGACCGCATCTTGTAGGTTTTAAGGTAGGGATTTCATAGCCGAGGTACATACATACATACGCCTCCTAGATCGAAGTGTCCCTTGACCATAGTTTTTGAGAAATCTTCTGCGATTTCGAACCACTTTAGTTTAGCAACGGGACAAAGCTTATATTTGTTTAACATAAAAATAAAACTTTCATTGACCTTTAGGATGGGTGTTTTATGCCTCTTCGTAACATTCATACGGGCCGCATTTGCCTCAAAGTTGCCCAGCGCTGTTCTATACCAACTGCGCATTAGATCGTACCACCTTACAAAGGTGAAAAAAGTTCGCCGTACACGCCCGAGTCTAAAGTATTTTTTCAAGACAATTTCGAAAAAAAATTTTTTTTTTTATGGCAGAACCGACTGTTTACATTTTTCGTCATATCTTCGGATCGCAAAGTATGGTATATCGATGTTCTTCGAGGAGACCAAAAAATAAAAGATTTTTTTTTCGAAATTGCCTTACTAGAATTCTTTAGACTCTAGGGTATATGTTTGTTTTTTGGTAGGGGCCTGTGTTAACAAACGCGATGATCTTTTTTCCATTGCCTTTAGAAAATTTTACTTATTCTTCGGTAAACTAACTATTTTCAAATCAAGCAACAGTGCTACGTTGGTTAACCATTTTTTCCGTTAGTACCAAATTTTACTTAGGACACGGAAAGTTAAATGCCACTGACCTGCAATATGGCAACTTCGTTTTTGAGTTGTGCCTCCTGTTTAGTCGGAAACCTCAACTTATCAATAACTTTAATAGCCACTTCACGTTTGGTTTTCTTGTGTACACCTCCATAGACAACACCAAATTGTCCAGAACCAAGCACTTCATCGGGGAAGATCTGATAAAGCTGACCCATATCCTGTACGTTTTCTTCTGATTCACAGCATTCTGTAAACAATTCACGGTTACATAAGCATGTACTATCGCAATAGCCATTCTTCCCAATATCTTGTTTTGTGCAATATGTATGTATGTACTTACGCGTGTTTGTGACATGCATATAGGCCTGTTTGATGATTGTCTCCCAGCCTTTAGCGATATCCGAGCCAATACCGCTGTCTGGTGGCGGCAGTCTTACTGGCTGCTCTTCACGTACACCCACTAATGGATCCTGGCCTACATAGTAGCTTATGGTGGCCGTCTTAAGTTCGAAGCAATAATTGTTGTCTACACGAAAATCACGATTCGCATCTATACCCTGTATTTCCGATAGTGGTATATCCTTGTGATACTTGCTACCTTGTTCGGAGAGAAAGAGCGTCAACGTAAGCGTCTTCGAATCTAAGCGCCAATAAAAGCGCTTTACTGTTTTATCTAGACTGGTATAATGTACCAGCCATCCCTCTTTGATCGCTTGGCCGCCACGCTTTTTCGTGTGCTTCACTGATTGTACGATACGCATTAATGGTATATTGGCACTGGGCGATGAAGAAGAGCTCGATTGCTCCGATTGTCCATCAATTGACTGCCCCTCGCCCGCGCTACGTCCATCCGCATATCCTCCAACACGTCCATCGCCAGGACTTACCAGCCCATTGACCAGCTCTGGTGGCGAATTGTGTGCATTCGTTGTCGTCTTGGGAATACCGGCACGCACAGATTTTGCTCCAGCTGCGGTTCCATACTTATGCGTCAAGTTACCTGTGTAACCACCACCACTTGGCGAGGGATTGTCTTCGAAATCGCTATCATCGAACTCCTCGCGAAAAAAGTTGTCGCCCGCTTTCGGTGTATGCGCATGCGTGGGCGTGTTATCGGCAAAGTCGTTGGCATGCAGCTGCCGCTCGCCGGTGCAGTCGTGTGGCACTTTATCTAAGCACTTCTTATGCGCATTATATTGGCAATCTTTGCATTGGAGGCCCTGCTTGAACAGACCTTTCAGTAGTTTTTTGCAATATTGGCATACGGTTGGGATACCATAGGTATGCACCATGAAGGTGTGTGGAATGCGTATTTTTTCGGCGTAAGCGAGAGTTGACGTGTACATAGAAATATTGGCGGCGAGGCAATGATTGCTGCTCTGCGTGCCGTTGCGGCTACTCGAAGAAGGCGAACGGCTGTGACTGCGATAGTGGGGGACACTCTACGAAGTAGGAAATAAAAAACAGATCGCATGGAAGAAAGGGTATTGGCAAAGTGCAAAAGCAGCTTGACATTCAATGAATTAAGCGCTATCAAAAATGATCGAAAACACCGAATCTCCATTTGTGTAGAGTTCTACTTAAATGATCTGGCCTAGAGTATTGGCAGCTGTGAGAGTAAAACGATAAAGAAAAAGTCAACATAAGATACAATTTTTTATTCTTTATTAATTTTGTTTAAAATTTAGTATAAAATATTAAGGAAATAAAATTACAAAATTATAAAAACTTTTACATTTATTCCGTAAATACTCTAAACCAGATCGCAGATACCTAATCTGAAATAGTATTTAAGAGCTTCACTAAATAAAATAGTAAAAAATTATGTAATTTAAACTACCCTGCACCTGCTACTAACTAAGAGTATCAGTAAATTTACAAATAATGCTTTTTTATCAGGATTATAAGTTCTCGATTGTGCGCGAATCTACGTTAAGGGCCGGTTTTCACTATGTCATAGTACGACCACAAAATTTGTCAACATATTTTTAAACCGATTATATTATGGACCAAAAATTTGAGAATGTGTTTTCACTTATGTCGCGACAAATGCCATTGAATTTAAAACAGTGAAAACCAGCTTTAAGTAAAAGAAATCTCTAAAAAAATGTCTTGGAACTTTTTTCAACTACTGTCATTTATGTATCTTCACAGCGCTTAGTTTCAATTTACTCTAATTCTTAATGATATCACTCATCAAATCCGACATTCGCTTTACCAGTGAGCTACCGCCATCACTTCGCGCCGGATCGTCATTCGAGACCAACGATTGCGTTGAACCACCTGAGGGACTACGTGGCGGTTGTAGAGCCGACGAACGTCTCGAGCTAGTATCATTCGGGCGACTGCAATTGTTTGGTATTTTCACAACACAGCGTTTATGATAATTTTGACCGCAACCTTGAAAATGAATACAAATGCCATAAAGCAAATACATACTAACGAAGCCATTCGAATCACACACTTACCATCACATTTGAGTCCTTGTCGCACCAAACCGAACAGCATTTCACCACAGAAATCACAAAATGTTGGTGCTTTGTACGAATGTACATTGAGCGTATGCGGCTTCAAAGTTGGCATTTCCGATGTGGGATACAGGATGGCTGTGGGAGAGGAAATGTAAAAGCATATCAATCAGTTGTCTGGGGAAAAGTTGGAAGATAAAACTTTCAGCTCATGAAAATAAGCTATGACCCCACTTACGGCTGGCAGTCAATACAATCTCCACCAACGTCTCATCGACCACTTCTGCAGCTGAGTTGATGATGTGCAACACATTTGGACTGTTGTAGTCATGGCGAAAGATTAATATACGTTCTGGTAGATGTGTTAAGCCGCTGTCGGGTATCTGAAAATAAACATAGGGAGTTTGTATGAGCTACTGTTTTTTTTGTGGATATAAAAATAAAATAAATATTTGTGTTGGTGTAAATCATATGTAGTAATTATAAAGGGAAATAGATACATATCTAGTGCAGCACCCTGGGAATTGGCGTATATGTAAATACTACATGTAAATGGGCTTGGATAAGTTTCAACCAAAAAGTTGTTGGTCATTTTTTTTTTTTTAATTCTTGTTATGTCATCATAATCAAGTGTTTTAAGCTAAAAATGAAAAATCGTTTAAGGAAGAATTAACAAAATAACTCGATTATCCTTAATTTATCGTGGGATAACATTGCTAACTAAGTCCAAAACCATCCAGCAGTAAAATTTTTTATTACATATTAAAATCCATATCAACTAATAGTGAATATTGGGAGAAGAAAATGCTCAGGGAGGAGAGATTGATATTTGAGGACAGTGGGGGTGGTGGGTCTCGGATCGCCTTCTGAGCTGCCTCTTCTTCCCAGGTCTCTGGTGCACCAGGGCTAATCGAAGTCGGCACATTGTTGCAAGGAGTAACTTTAAACTCTACATCTGGCTTCGTAATTTTTAAATCTAGAAAAGGATAGTTTACAAGCGAGCTCTTGACCGTGGCAAGTATAGAGAAGAGGCTCTAAAAATCGCCAAGAGTATTTCATATTTTGCTTGGAAGAAAGTGACCTATACCGTCAACCAAAAAAATTGCCAAAAAGCAATGGTAAGTCCTAGCTATATCACCCTTGCACTTTATTATACTAAAATTGAATACGCTACTAGGGTTTTTATTTATTTGTTATATTTAATTGTTTTTTTTTTGCGAGCGATAACTAAAATTTTGCCACCCTTTTTTGTGATCGAAAACGAAATTTTCATCTGGGACTGAAATAGTAGTCCTCTTATTTCCCACAGTCTAAGATACATGTACTATATATGTATGTATCTGTAATTGCGTCATTGTCTGTTATTGCGATAAAAGCCTGGTCGTATTAAAATGAAATATAAAAAATAACCATACAGACATAAAATAGTAAATGACAAGCTGCCTTAAGACCACTAAGAACATATCCTTTTTCGTTAGTATTATTAATATTATTATATGCTACTTCTATTTAGTACTCTGACGTCATAAATAATTGAATGTGAGCAAAGCAAATTCAATATGCAGTAGGAAAGGCCATCGTAATATCGCAAAAGTGGAGAAACGCTTGGGGGCTGTATTCTGAAATAAAATTAAGTAATTAATGCGTGGCAATTAATTTGCGAAATGCACGTGACTCCCACGATTACGCGGTCAACATGTTGTGTGTACAGCGGTGCACTAGCAGTTTGCCTACGTTAGACATCAGGGGAGATTAGAAGTGGAATTATGGTAACTCAACAATTAATTTAATAATATATGCACTTATGGATGTAGATTTGTTTCGTAGTGTCATTTACAGTGGGTCTTTAATTAAACCCAGTTAGTAGGCATACACTAAAATTACACGCGTATTTCATGCAGATAATATTCAATATTCTTGATTCAAGAAAACAATTAAATTCCGCGTGCGTAGATAACAGAGGGATGTACTATTAAATTAAATATGCCAAACCACATAGCCATTACAAAGCTTCTTACAGAAAAGTCTAGGGTGCCCGACAGGTCACCCTTTATTGAAAAGTTTTGACCGTTTTATTTTTTGGTTTTTTTAAGTAATTTTGATAATTTGTTTATAAAAGTATAGTTTATTCCGGCCGTTGTGGTGACGTGGTTAGGAGTGCGCACTACCATTCCGCAGGCAAATAAAGGAGTTTTACAGTAAAACCCCATATCTAAACAATCAGTTGTATGGAGGCTATAAATAGGTTATAGTGATCCGATCTTTGTTAGTTTTACTGTAAACTTTCTGTTGATAATTAGTGAAAATATTGCGAAATTTCATGTTTCTAGCTGCATATATGGAGAAGTTATAACAAAGAATCTCGAATCTGAACAATCAGTTGTTTGGAGGCTATAGGTTTATAGTGACCCGATCTTCGCCATTTTCACTGCAAGTATTTTTTTTGATAATTGGTGGAACTATTGCGAAATGTCACGTTCCCAGCTGCATCAATGGAGGAGTTATAACGAAAAATCCTATATCTGAACAATCAGTTTTATGGGAGCTATATGTTATAGTGACCCGATCTTTGTAATTTTCACTCTAAGTTTTCTCTTGATAATGGGTGGAAGTGTTGCAAAATATCATGTTCCTAGCTGCATAAATGGAGAAGTTATAACGAAAAGTCCCATATCTGAACAATCAGTTGTATGGGACCTATATGTTATAGTGGTCGGATTCTTCCGCTTACGACAAATGATTGATACATTATAAAAATACACTCACCTACCAATTATCATCCGGATATCTCGAAAACTGAGAGATTACATACAAACAGACAGACAGACAGACGGACAGACGGACATGGCTAAATCGGCTCAGCTCGACGTTCTGATTATTTAAGTATACATTTTAATGGGTCTATCTTTTCTTATTCTGGTACTTACAGACATCGCACCAAAGTTATAATACCATTTCATGCTTATGAAAGGTATAAAAAAGATTTTCTGTTTTCTAATAGCGGTCGCCCCTCGGAAGGCAATGGCAAACCTTCATGAAAAACCACGATGATAAGCTTCCCACAAAAATAGAATCGCCGTAGGCGTAAAACTGTAGGTCCCTTTTCTTTGTGTGAAAACAACAAGGAGAAGCTCGGCCAAACACTAACGTATTGTGAAATCCTGACGTGGTTCTTTTAATTTTTATACCACGTTTTCTACAACAAAACAAAAAAAAAATNTCGAAGTAGGCGTAAAACTGTAGGTCCCTTTTCTTTGTGTGAAAACAACAAGGAGAAGCTCGGCCAAACACTAACGTATTGTGAAATCCTGACGTGGTTCTTTTAATTTTTATACCACGTTTTCTACAACAAAACAAAAAAAAAATAAATTAATAAAAGGAAATAATAAAACTTTTCAGTGCCTTTATGGTGACCTTATCATTATGCCGGGCACAACATACGTGTATACTTACGATGACCATCCGTACTTTATTTTAAAGAACCGTACATTTGGTTAAGGTGCTGCCCTTTGAATTTTTTTATTTTCATAAAACTACATTTTGTCCGTTATTTTAAAACCTTAAAAGTAATTCTCATCATACGAGTACAAACAAAGTTGTAACGTAAATTCTTCGTTTTCCTTACAAAGCGCGGAATGCTGTGAAGATTCTAAAGCGTATTTTAGCCAGAGCGTAATAGTGGTGTTAAAAAAGTGCTCAAGGCTATTAATACTTCTTCAAAGGGACATACATAAACCTACAACGCGCATACAAATGCCTATACCTAGCAAAACCCTTTCTGGTTTGCCTCTTACATCTTCGTCTGTTGAATTATTTACATAGAAATTAAAATTCCAACCCAAATGAACTTACCTTTGTGTTAATGAATTCACAGGCTAAATCCTTGAGCGTTTTCAATGTTAAACTACTGGCCGCTACCGATACAGCATCACGTAAACTGCCAAATTGAAAGAGGAACGTCACCTCGGGGCCCTCCATAATAATGGGTACTCCAGCCGAACCAGCACAACCAACGCTACCGCCGGCAACGAAAATGGAAGCGTTGTTGTGGCTGCTGGTGTTATTGAAGTGTTGTTGTCTATTGTAGTGCGCCAGTGCAGCTGTTTATATTTCCACCGCAAAATTTTTCGAGTTGATTGGCTTGACGATGCAATGGTTAGTCACTTAAACGTTTGGTGGGTGGGTTTGTTGGGCAGCAGGCCACTTTGGCCGGTTGACCTCGTTTTGAATGGTGACTAAGTGGATGGCTCGGTTTAGTGGATCGGAATGGGCGGCTTTGCAGGCTGCCTGTTGGAAGTTTTCGCACTGTGATGGTTTCTCCACGTCTCCCGGAACTTTGTTGTGTGGTTTTACTTAGTTATTTCTTGTGTAGTCACTATATTTTGTTGTCTTTTTAAATATTTACTTCGCCTGAATTATGAATTTCACTAAAAGGAAAAGAAAGGAAACGTTGCATTAACTTAGTTACACAGTGGAACGAAAAAGGTGGTGAGTTCATAGTAGAACATTATCAGTTTTAACAAAATCAATGTCGCGCTTAGAAGTTATCCTAAATCACATTCACTAAGGGCCGTTTTCTGAAGTAACCTTTAACTTTAAAGCTCACTTTATATTTAAAGGCTGCATTAAAATTTATAATTGTGTTTAAAGTAAATCATTTTATTGCCGGTTTTAAATTGATTTACAACCAAGAAACATACATACGTCAAAAACCGATAATAGAAGTGCTTAACTTTAGACATAGCTTTATTTTTAATCCAACCTTTAAATATAAAGTGAGCTTTAAAGTTAAAGGTTACTTCAGAAAACGGCCCTAAATAGGAAAAGTTTAAGACTATGTATCACTGGTGCTAATTCGGTATTGATAATAAACATGATTTATAGTCAAAGAGGATGAATGATTTAAGTTATTTTTACATATATACAACAAACACCATAAATATTTCTTGAATACAAGTAAAAAAAAAAAAAATTTGTGTGTCATTTAAAAGACAAAAATTGGCAATATATCAATGTCCAGTTTGCAATAGATTATGTACATCAAGCCCCAATTATTTTTGACCGACTTCACAAAAAGGAGAAGGTTATCAGTTCTTCGGAATATTTGTTTTTTTTTTATGAATGTTACAACAAACACAATCAAAGTTTTTTGAATAAAAGTAAACAAATTGTGTGTCATTTAAAAGACAAAATTGGGCAATATATCAATGTCCAGTTTGCAATAGGTTATGTACATCAAGCCCCAATTTCTTTTTAACCTACTTTACAAAAAGGAGAAGGTTGCCAGTTCTTCGGAATATTTTTTTTTATGCAGGTTACCGCACAAGTTAGGACCACGTTAACCGGTTTCAATACTACTCTTTTTCATCGGAACGGTGGTACCTCAAGGATGGTCCCATACTCATTTTGTTTAGATCCGATAATTGGATCGTGAAGAAATTAACGTTAATCTTAAATTTTTATATGAGAATTGAAGTCGGTTTTATTTTTTGCTTAAAAATTACTTGTGCTTATTTCTTGTCATTTATTACGTATGTATGTATGCATTTGGTATGAATTGGGGATCTGAGTCGAAATTTGCACTGCGTATGTATATAGCAACTATAAAACCAATACTAACTTACATAGCATTAGGGACCCAACCGCTTGTAGGGTTTTGAAAAGAAGTTGGAAAGGAGAACAAAAAGCATAACCAATGAAAAATTCCAAATTTGTCCAAATGGGAAAAATATATTTATAGCGTAATAATTCATTTCCACCGAGCTTTAACTGCAGTTTATGCCTATAGAAAAAAGGGGATCTCAACTTGAAGGGCGTAATTGCTCATGTTCAGTACACGCGAACAAAATAAAATCGGCAACAAGTAAGATATAAACCCTGCCGATCACCACATCTGGAATTTTTTGCATCTTACCTGACCTCTTAACTGCAGTTAAGGTTCTTGTGGAAATAGTTTATAAGAATATGAAGTTTCCGAAAAGAGATTTTCTTCTTTGTGTTTTAGAATATCCTAATGCATGGCAAATACTCAAATTGCTCCTCATTGATATAATGGATACACCGCGCTTTGGTATCATGTAATACAAAAAAATGGAGAACCCACAAAGTAAAAGGTATTAATAAGTTAAAATCCTCTAGAGTTAAAGCTCAGTTATTCTAGCCTTAATTTCCGTAACTTAATTCAACTTAATATTTTGGTCAACCTGTTATATGAGAAACTGTGTTGGCGGTTAGTTAAAACTTAACTTACTGTAAGAAACTTAAGAACCTGTAAATTTTAGGTTCTTAAGTTACGGCCTTACGAAAATTGAGAGCGGTGAGAGAATAAGGCTTGCCAGACTCTCGTTTTGGTATTTCTTAAAAATAAATGAACGCAAACATTTTTGTTTGCATGCATTTTTTTGATGTGGCATTTTAGGCGGTGGACTGGTAAACAGCTGAAAAAGAAAATACAAAAACAAATTAGGTCCGCTTTTGGCTTAAGTTGACGTGTTGAGTAATTATTGATGATTTCATACGGTAAGTTCAATTAAGTTAAGTCTAGACTAACTGAGCTTTTAGACATTTTAAACTTTATAACACGTTTTGTTAGAGTCCAAAATTAATCCAAGTGTGATAGAATCAGGAGACAGATACAAAGGGAGCATACTCAGAATTCCCAATTGGATCCGAAAAATGTCAAATAGTGATTATCAATTATCACATTTGTGTGTTTTGTTTGGAAATTTTTTGATTTCTAAAAGCTGTTTCGTGTAATCCGCGTATAAAATCATTCAATGACAGAAAATAGCTTACACAAAATAATTATGCATACACATGCATACGTAGTTACATTAGGGGTATTCACGATTCGGTGCATACGGTCTAGCATGGTGCACAGATAGCATAAATAGCATGATTGTTGTTGTTTCATGTGTTCAAACAACAACGAAATTAGCCAGTCTTGCTATCTAAGCACCATGCTAGACAGTATGCACCGGATCGTGAATACCCCTATTGTATTCGCATGTATATACAAAAATAATTCAACCACAGAAGGTTAAAATTCTAATATTCGATTGTCAAAGAAATATATTTCGAACCACTTTCAACATAGTTCATGGCCTATGTAGAGCTCATTGAACGCATACTTACGTAAATTCCGATCTCCGGCTTACTGGCTGACTAATTGGTTACCGGTGAGCAAATGTAAAGCTGAAGCATTAGTCATACATTTGGGCATATGTATATACATATGCATGTATGTATCTATATATTAATACGCTAACATTAATTTGGTCCGCCTTTGTTTGGCGATTCTACCGAACCAATTTCAAAACCAACACCATTGGAAGGGGATTTTTCTGAAGATGAGGAGAGTTTTTATGGCTTCAAAATTTTGTTGAAAATTACGACCAAAATCGTCGTTTAAAAATTTTCGCATTTGTGTATGGTTGTTGTTGCAACCTGTTCAATTTGAGCTGGTTTTGCATTTTGTTTCACTTCGTAATAGAAATGAAGATGAAAAGATAAATGTGAAGAAAAAAGAAATGATGAAAAACGATAAAGAAATACATATGTCTACATACATATGTACATAAGTACTAGAGTAACTGAAAGGGAAGGAAATTTATTGAAATTTTTCGATAACAATCAAAATATATCCAGTCAAGAAAAATATAGCTATCGAAAATTATCAAGTATATCGAGTCAACGAATACTATAGTTATGGAATTTTTTATAGAGTTATCATAATGTATCGAGTCCTTTCAACTTATCGAGCTATAGATATTTATTATTTTATCGAAATTTGTTGGTAGTTATCGAAATGTTTAGGTTTATCGGATCCAAATTTTTAGAATTTCCAAAGTACATCGAGTTATCGAAATTTATAGGGTTTTATATACATAAGTTTATCGAGTTATCACTATTAATCAAATTTTATCGGAGTACAAGAATGTATCGCGATATCGAAATTTATTGAGTTATCGAGTGATGAAAATGCACAGCTATCGAAATTTATCGATAATTATCGAAATATTTTGAGTTATCAATTTTAATTAAGTTATCGGAATTTAGTGTTTTTGCAGTTGATCGAGTTATCGAGGCTAATGAGTGCGCGTTTTAGTTATCGAAATTTATCGATAGTCATCGAAATTAGTCGAGTCTTCGATTTTCATCAATCTGTCGGAATGTAGTGTTTTCGAAGTTAGTTTTTAGAAGTTTAGAGCTATCAGAATTTTACGTGATCTAATTGCAATGGGAGATAAAGAACTATTTTGGGGAAAGACAATTTGAATGTCTGGTGATTTCCGCGAAATTTTGCCGGTAGTTCCCCACGATTCTCGTGTCACCCTAATTGGAAATTATATTAAAACCTGATCTGAATTTTCCTCTTTTGACTTTGACACTTAATAATGTAGTTTCTCAAATAATATATGTATGTATGTAATTAAATAAATCTTTAGGTATATTGGCGAGAACATTCTTTCTGATGACATTTTGCTTTCTGTTATATTGGCCCCAAAATTATATTGTCTTTTATCAATGCAGACATATGCCTAGATAAGAAAAGCCATACTTTAATGTTGATAAAATTATTTTTGATGATGTTCGGCAGCATAACGATTACCGTATTGAATGTTGAAACTTTTTAACTGTCAGCGGATTACCTCCACATAAAATGGTACTACAAAAAAAAAATGGATTTTAATACTTACTTATAAGCAACCTAAACACAAAGCATAACTTAGTACCCGCATGCGTGTGAAACAAATGCATAAAAACCCTTACGTTGTGAAGTTTGAACTGGACTTTCGTGTGGCTTGCGAATGTTAATACCTCGCATTCATTAATCATATTCTGGCATTCTTTTGCCCTTTTTGTCCCAGGGTACACAGTGTCCAGTCATTCCGCTTTTTGTATGACTATAAATAAATCTCAGGGGCAAATATTTCAAAGGGTTGGCTTTTATTACGAACACCTGCATTTTCTTATGGCAAATGATATGCTACTGCCAGTAGAATTCGTTCATTTTACGGATTGCGGGTCCACATTCCAGATACTTCAGATCAAAGGGTTTTTACAATACCACAGTTTATATTGCTGCCACTAATAAAATATTGAAAATAAAACATAAAAGATATGAAAAATTGTAGTCACGTTTTACTTAGATCCCAGGGCTGTTATATTACTAGAAAAACGGTAGAGTTTCGACAGTAACTGGCACTCCTAGTATTTGGCAAAATATGCATGTATTTTAGTTTAAACAAAACTTGGTTGCTTTTAAAATAAATTTGTTTCTTATTAGTAAGACCTTTTCTTTTGTTTAATTAGTAGTTAGCTTTTCTACCGCATAAAAGTCGTCTTGCTTCTTGTTCCCAAAATTTCAGAAATATCAGACCACTTTCTTTTCCGAATAAATTCATCCACATGTTCACTTCAACCGCAAACCATGTTTAGTTATTTTATATTCGCTTGAGTTTGAAACCAAAATATCCCAGCAAAACCAGCGTGACCGAAACTCCAACACAAACACAAATTTTATGGTGTTACTAACACACCTGTAATAATTTTTGATTGTTTTTTCGTGCGAGCTATCTTTCGCATATGAGTAAGTAGTCAAGCTAATCTTTTCACATATGAGCAAGCAGGCAAACTATTTGGTTTGAAAAATCACACGTACACAAAACTTCTGGGAGCATTTTTGATTCACTATTAAGAATGTGATAACAAAACGTGCCGAACTTAGCGGGCACGCGTGACGGTAACGTCACTAGGAAAGTGGCCGTCACTGTTCTTGCTGGGATATTGGCAAGGAATGTACGTGTAAGGTGTACATACAAATGTAGAAGCATCCCTGCAAAAAAATGGGACGAATACGGGATGACTCCGGGAGCAATCGCAAAGGAACATGCGATTTATACCACTTTGGATCTCTTTATATGGAATGAACTGTTCGCTTTTGTGCGAGCATGTCCTATGAAGAGACTAATGGTTCACCTTTATACCCGAACGGGTATGAAAAGCGACTAGGCACTTTTAAAAAATTAAAGTAAAAATTTGCGCCAGTTGCGATTCGAACCAGGGTTCTCAGTTTTTTAGGCGAATACTCTCTCTATGTGCCAACGCCGCACATGAAATTTCATTGACTAAGTGCGTACATATCATTAAATCGGTAATAGTACCCGTTAGAGATGAGTTGGGGACTAATTGATCTCCAATTATACCCATAAGGGATGAGTCGAGACTAATTGACCTTCATTAGTACCCGTATGAGACTAGTTGGGACTAATTAATGCCTAATTGTACCCGATAGAGAGTAGTCTCGGAATACTCTCTTTAGAGATTAGTCGTACAATTTTTTGCAGGGTATGCATTAATGGGCATTTCTTATTTGCGAAAGGACAAAGAATTACATACCTGCAACATATTCATTTCAAAACATACATATATATGGTCGTTTAAAGTACAAAACCGCGTATCAACAAAATGTAAAACCGCGTATGTGAGGTTGCAAAAATTATTTTCTAGGGAGTAAAAAGACTAATATTTCAAAATGGTTCTGTTTTTTATAAAGCAATCGCATCTCTGGCTGGTATAATTCAGGACGAAAGGAGCCAAGAGCTTGTATGAGCAAATGCAATTTTTGGCAGCAAATGTCAGTTATGCGGTTTTGCAGAATGACGATACGCGGTTTTGTACTTTAAACGACGATATGTGTGTATGTGGGTACGTAAATATGTATGCATAAGGAATATTTTCTAAGAATGTAATACTTATAATTTAAGTAAACTTTTCTACGCAACTGAAGGAGCATAGTAGGTGTGCCTTGTTGCCTACTTGATGATATGTTGCTGATGCTCAACTGAAAATATTCTGAAATGCTCCATTACAATTTTTTCGTTGCTTTTGATTTGCCAATGATTAGCAACTGATTGTCAAAATTTTGTTCCTCGAACGCTTGAGTCGCTCAACGTGTACAACGTGATGCTCTTTCATAAAAAGTAACACTGCTGCATTAATTGCAGCTCGAATACAACCAGTATCTATACGGGGTGCTAGCTGAGTGGGCTTGAGGAGTGGCCATGTGAAGAGATGGTTGGTGTCGGGTCCACATGCTGGACATTCATCAGGTATGTCTGGGTCAAGTTTGGATAGATATGAGCTCAGCTGACTGCAGAATCCAGACCGTAAATAGACCAGAGTAACAGGAGTCTCCCGAGGCAGCTGGAGCTCATTGTCTGTGATATGTGGCGATTAAACTCACGGCATTCATGAGATGATAGCTACAGAAGGTGGTGACGGACTCTCATTACCTCTGACGTGCCTGTAAGCCATCGGGTTCAGTGGTTGTTTTATGTAGGTCTGACCTACTTCCTTGCACTCGAAAAGATGCCTTCTGACGTGCCTGGATGGAGGCTCCTGTCAAACAAGGGATTATTCGGGTGCTTGCGCCTGTAGCACCCTAGTAAAAAGTGCCCGCTGAGCATGATGTTGTGCCACCTTACTGGGTGAAATATTTTAGAATAGGCGACATCAGAAGGCATCGAGTCTCTGTCCGGATTGCTAGTCCCCGGCCAATCAGGCGCAGGATAATTAAGGACCGACCGGCCAATTGCCTTGCATGTAACCGAAAACGTCCATTTGTCTTTAACCCAGGTGCTGCCGGTGACGCGAATTTAGGACCTTTATACGGCTCTGTAGTTTATGAACAATTGAGGTTGTGTACGCCAAGAAGGAGAGCAGTCTGTCCAAGGCAGAATTTTCGGGTTTTTTGCCGTCAGAATTGAGGGAGGATGGTTCATTTCCGGTCGCCAATATCGTACAGTCAGTCGTCAGCGTATGATATAAGGGAAACTTCCTTCGGTGGCTGAGGAAGCTTTGAGATTTAGAAGTTAAGCAATAGCTTTTGTATGACTTAGAGGTTTGGTCTCGAAAGGTTATTGACAACTGACTTTCACCATCGTATTCATATGCGCCTTCGCAATAACGTCTATGTTCGTATTCGTCTGGATCTTCGTGTTTGACTTTGTCTTTAAAACCATAAAAAAATTGAATAACTTGCAAGAACAATAACTATGCACAAATACGGAAACTTTGGCACAGCGATTACAGCCGCAATTCTCAACCAATTTCAAAACCATAACAACTCTCAACAAATCGGTCCTGTAGACAATTTAAATGAAGACAGACAACATTTATGTTATGTGAATAAAAAAACTCAGGATATATATTGACATACACATATCGTCACCTGGACAAATCATTGTCATATGCTATATTTCACGACAAACACAATACAAATGTGTCTGATTACAAACACTAGTAAATTGCACATTCAAAATAAACCTTTTTTGAAGGAAAATCATCCAAAATGTATTTTTTTACGATCTTTGTCACTTGCGCCCTTCTGGTCTTATAAACATATATTTCGCACTGAGGTACAAAGGGTAACTTGGCGCAGAACAAATACAACAATATTTATGACGTGTAGCACCGCTATAAAACCAGGGACCGAGAACAAAAGGCATGATCGAAACTAAATGTCGTTCTCGTAGTTTTGTTCCCAAGAATGCTTAAAAATCCCAAACCCAAATGAGAACAAAATCTTCGGGAATATTTTCACAGGAACGATAATGAGAACGAAACTGTCGATAACGTTCTCAACGGGAATTATATAAGAATAAAATCGTGTGGAACGTTCCCAAAGAGAACAAAATGCGTACAATACTTTCGGGAATATTTCTAACAGAACAAAATGGCAGCAAAAGGAACTTTTGGCAAAGAACAAAACAATGACCATTTGGGAACTAAAGCCTCAGAAACTTTCATTGAACCATAAGCGAAGAATGCAAGCGAGAACAATATTTACTCATAGCGTTCCATTAGTTTGAAATGGTTGAATATTAAAATTAATGGAAGAAGAACTGAAAGATAACTTTGCAAATTAATTTAACGAAAGACTTAAGACACGAACTTTTCTTGCACAGGAAATGAAAAATCTACTATTTATTTGTAGAAGTATGTATTTATGTATGTATGTGCCGGATTGCAGCCTAAACGGATGGACAGAATCGAATCAAATTTATACAGAGTATTGCCATGACACCTGGACCTATAATAGGGAGAAAAAATTGGGATTCGACAAGGGTTCGTGGCACTTACCATGGCCATGAAATTTTCAGTTAGCTACAACTTCGGGACCATAAGTCATATGAATTTGAAATTTAGTATGCAGACATATATACGCTTGGAGCTTATAGTAGGTTATATACAGGAGTTTGTAAAAGGGGGATAAATATTTATTCACCTCTTATATCACTCAGATATTTAAAACTATGTTTTTTGAAACCTTACAGTCTTTAGAACATTTCCAAATGGTAAGATTAAATAGTTTTTTTGATCCCGCGATGCTGTTAAACGAAAAATGTTCATTCATATTGGATAAAGCTCCTTCCGAAATAAGCATTCTACTGGTAAAATGCAGCTATATGAAACAGCTAAGCGAATAGGCAGCTAAATGGAATGTACCGTAGTAGACTAATTATAATTTAAAAATTCTATCGTTACTTTAATCCACCTAATAATAATAATGAAAAAAAATGATGATAAATATATAGTAGTTGAAGCACTATAAAGCTCAAAGTATAGCTCATAAGGATGCCTTAATTTAAATAGAAAGAAAATAGTTTGTTTACTTTGATTTATGCTGAACTGAATATTTGTACTACTGTTATATATTTTGATTTGCTTACCCCTAACGACGTCGGTTGCTCTGCTAGTTATTCCATAAATGTACAGTGCCCCTAAAGAAAACCAAACTGGAAGTTAATATGATGCAGCTTTGCTCTGGCTTAGAATTGACACTCATGGTTTTCACAAATAAGCAGCCCCTCTCATTCCTAACGTTAAGTCCTGAAAACGTTTGTTCTCGTTTTGTTATCTAGTAGAACGTTTTACAGGCTTTTGTTCTTATTTCATCCCCCTTGAAAACGTTATCGAGCCTTTCGTTCTTATTTTGTTCTCATCGAAAATGTTACCGAAAGTTTCGTTCTCATTCTGTTCTTCTTGAGAACGTTCTCGAGAGTTTTGTTGAACCTGTTGTTCTCATTTCGTTCTCGTTCATACTGCTCTCAATAATTTTGCTCCCGTTTAGTTCTTTTGTGGGAACGTTCTTGGCATTACATTTTGTTCTCATGCAGAACTAAACCAAGCGGGAATGCATTTTCGGTCCCTGTATAAAACACAGATTGATCATATGTATGACAGTGTAGCCTGGGAATGATCATATCTTCTATGAAAACTGTGTTATTAACCAGCTTTAATTTTAGCCTTATAATTATTTCGTGAAGTGTATACCGTATTCAGAGATAAGTAGAATATCACATTAAGTGGCGACCGAGCAAAAAGTACAGAAATAAATAGAGGAAATAGAACAGTTAAATTGCAATCACATTTATCGTACAGAGGTAAAATAGTTATGTATTTCTTTTTTGTAGTTATTCCTATTCATCACAGTATCAGGTATGGGATTCCACGGTCTAACAGCATTAACGAAAGAAATTACGTTGATGAGGACAAATTGGAATATTTAGGGTTAATCAGATATTGATGTCCACAAGACTAACTTTTCGTAAAGACATTTCGGTGTTTTAAATTGTATGAATAATTTGTGGTTGTTCGTACCAGAATCGAGAGCTTTGTTTATTATTTTGATAATAAAATTGAGTGACTTTTAAATACTTTCGAGGCGCATATATATATACATAGTACATACATATCTTTCCATGGTGAAATAGTAAACGTTACTGAATACACTGGCAAATACATGACAAAACTTGTACAGCTAAATATGGCTGAAACGCGCCGGCGAAATCATATCCCCCCCTATTGAAACCCCTTTTAAATGCTGAGCTCTTCCCAAGGAAAGATACTATTCAATATAATGTGCTAATAGCTCAACATGTGCGACCTTGGTTCCAAACTCTTTTGCCATCAGTTCGAACGCTGAAAATCTTCAACTAAATTCGTACCTATACACATACCTAGATACATATTTCATGCAGTGATAATGCGTTAGCGACTTAACACCGAAGTTAAAACACAAAAAAGAATTCCCCAAATAAGGCTATACCACACAAAAGTTATTTAATTTAAAAAGCAAACAAATAAATGCATTAAAAAAAACAGACAGTAGGAGAGCAAAAACAGCCACAATGAGGATAACTTACAGAATGGTGAAATAAGAGCAAACATAAATGGATTTATGTATACATATAAGTAAGAAAATCGAAAAAATTATTATTAAAGCAACTTTCTAAATTTTTAAGTAGGTGTATCAATGGATAAATGTAAAGCTGTTGCTGCTGGCGCTGCTCTTGAAAGTTGAAACCAGAGCAACGAAACACGCTGCCTATATATAATTACACAACCATACAGAGTAACTATTTGTTTGTAAGTACGCGGCTCATTTTTCAATTGAATTGCTGCCTTACTGTTGTTGGCGGGCAGGCTGTGTTCCTCTGCAACAGCCACAGATTCAGAGTTTGATTCTGCGGTTTATCATTGGCTTTGGTAGCTTTGTTGGTGGATCGGTGGATTGGTGGCTTGGTGGCTTGGCAAATAAGCAAAAAGTTAAAAGGCGAAAGAAGAATTTATTTCCCTGCTTTTATAGCCGTGCATGTATACTTTTGCTATATATGTACATATACACAAATGTGTATGCTTATAAAGGGAAAAAATTTATTTACGTCAACTGCAAAGGGATGCACTGTTAACAGCAATTGCAATTAAAATACCTTCAAGTGTTGCGTTACAAAGTTTTTTTTTTGTTTTTTTTTTTGTTTTGCTTGCATTTGCAACTCTTCTCATTCGCTTTCAAGTTTCTACGTATGCCTTAATGGGGAACGTACAAAAATTCCTGTCAACTTATAAACCGCGAATTATTCGCACATAAATAGCAAAAAATGCCAGCAAAATAATGTATAAAGTAATAAATGAAAAATTGAACAGAAAGAAAAAAATATGACAATGTAGCCGCAAAGAATTTTCGTAGAGTAGATGTTATAAATACTAGTGTCATTGGGAATTTGGAGCTATAAAGAACAGACGACACAGAGATTACACTTACATAAATATGTACATGTATACTAGGGTGTGTTAAAAAAATCAAGTTTTTTTTTTGGATCCGACACACGAAAACTAGTTCTTAGGTACCTCTAGAAAGTACTTACCAAATCTGAGCTCTTAATATTAACGGCAAGGTTATCCTCATCATAGTTTTCCATTTTCAATTTAGTCTCATCTAAAAATGGTCACATCTTATCACCAATAGATCGTTGAACCAGTTGCATTGCCAATATTAATAGGAAATTGAACGCTCTACATAAATGGTCTCAAACACTCTTTTCATTAATCTAACCATTTAAAAGAAAATCAAGGTCAAAGATTAAAGTATTTTAAGGAAAATAACTTTTTGTTTTGAATTTTGTAACTTACTAAAAAATAATTGTTGTCAAATGAGTTTCAATTATTTCTATAGGAAATTGAACGCTCTACAAAAAAGGTTTCTTGTAGATAAACGATTACTCTAACCATTTAGAAGATATTCGTAGTAGAATCCTAATGCCTACTGATTTTAGTAGTTTTTCAATAAACATTTTCAATTTATCCATTCAATTTATATGAGACCAAATTTAAAATGGAAAATTATGATGAGCATAATCTTCCCGTTAATATTAAGAGCTTAGATTTGGTAAGTACTTTCTAGAGGTACCCAGGAACTAGTTTTCGTGTGTCGGATCCAAAAAAAACTTGATTTTTTTTGACCCACCCTAATGTATACATACATACATACAATAAAATACACTACGATAAGTCGTACCCAGTGTTGCCAGGCCCTTGCGATGGAAAATCGTTTTCCTCTACTGCCGGAAACGTCTTATGGGTATAAAAATTGATCAAAAACATTTTTCACAGCTGCTGTTGTTTTTGTGCGACAGCAACTTACACCTTCAGCTAATTTGGAGTCGTGGAGACTATTTTTAACGCACTTGATCAAATGATCCATAGTCCGAAACTAGGGATGTGCCGGGTATCCGGAAGATATCCGAAATCAGACCCTTTTTCTGTTATCCGACTATCCGGCCGGAAACTAGCTAAAATTCGGCCGTATTTCCGGATTCAGATTATAGAAGATTCAATTTAAAAATCTAGTTCAGAAATTTATATATTTTTATGTATTTTTATAATTCAATATAATGTTAGATACCACTAGTAATTCAAGTTGACAATTAAAAAATAAAAATAGAAGCACTTGCGAATTATCGGAAAAAATCTATTTCTATTTTCAACACAAATGCTACCCGATGCGCTAAACACAGTTTCTGAGTTCACTGAGGAAGGTGGTGGACCCAAAATACTTCAGTGCCTGTATAACCAAATTTCGAAATTCTTTGCGATTATGCTTCCACCAAATTAAAGGATATTCTTGTCTGTGTATAAATAAGGCGTAGCTGTAATTATTTCTCCATTTCTAAATTGCTGCGTTTTTTTTTGTATGGTCGCTGCCTTGTCTACCCATCGTTTGCCTATCCACATCACTACAGAAACTGGAATCAGCATCACAGCCGTTGGCGATTTCCTCAAAGCATTGCCAAACATCTTGGTGAGCTCCCTCTTCAATTAAAGCTTTACCCGGTATTTAGCTTTATTGATGTCAGAAAAAAAAACGAGTTTTGAAACTTGGGTCACAAAATATTGCAACAACGGGACGATACGTGAAGCGGACGATATGTAAGCATGCATAGTAGTACGATTAACATCTTATTTGTTTAACCAAAATACATCAACTACGCGATTTTGCCTAGCGGGGTTCATTGTTTTTTACATATCATTTGTTTTTGACGTTTCTCCTCTATTTACCAAAAATAATCTATATATAAATAATGCAGACGGAAAAGTTATATTTTTGATATACGAAGAGAGAGAAATCTTGTTTTCTTAATTACGTATTGGATGGTTCAACTCGAAAAAGCAGATTATCTGGTCATAGGCATGTCGCTTTACCGGATATCCGATCGGATATCCAAATCTCTCTTATCTTTATATGGTATCCGGTATCCGGTTATCCGGAAAAATCTCTATCCGACACATCCCTATCCGAAACGAAAGGTTGTGTTCTGCGGCAAATGCACATACTTTCAGCTCTGCTTGCCTCAAAGCGACTATCCTTAGCGGTATGGATAGGTCGCCAAGCATTCAAGAAAGAACGCGGTTTATTATACTGAAGATGGAAAATTACAATAAATATTTTCACTCGTAGTGCATAAACAAATTAATGATTACCTTAGACGTGTATTCCTCCGAGGAGCAACTTTCACCAGTCATACTAGACCCAGCAGATAATTTACCAAGTGCTTGGTCGAGATTCTCTCTCAATTCCGACGGCTTTTAGTTGAGCGCAACCGCTGCTAAAAAAATCAGTGTTCGCAATCATGGTTGCCACTCGCCAACATTTTTTTCTACCAAAATCTCTTAAGAAAAGTTACCAAATCTTCACTACCAAAATCCTCTCTTCTTCACTGAGAAAAAAATATACTGAATAACAAATATGTATATATGTATGTATATGTAAATATGTATACAGCCCGATCCTGTGCACTTAATAAATTCAATATTTTTATAATTTGTCAATTTTTGATTATTTATCAAGAACTCCCAGTTCTAGCACAGAAGTTTAAATCTATTTTCTTGATAAATTANTAAGTTACCAAAAGTTACCAAATCTTCACTACCAAAATCCTCTCTTCTTCACTGAGAAAAAAATATACTGAATATTTAGCACTGCTATATTTCATAACAAATATGTATATACTTACAGCCCGATTCTGTGCACTAAATAAATTCAATATTTTTATAATTTGTCAATTTTTGATTATTTATCAAGAACTCCCAGTTCTAGCACAGAAGTTTAAATCTATTTTCTTGATAAATTATCAAGATTTAAAATGCTATTGACAATTATAATAATTTTTTTTATTAGAAAATATTTTTCTATCAATTAATTACTGCATGTGCCGTTATTCTCATTTTCGTTGTTGGTGTTTCCGACAGGGTAGGAGTATGATGTAATGTGGAACGATTTTCCATCATCCCTTGTCAAATTTGGTTTGGAGACAAACCGGTTTCGGCGTTGTGCCATTTCAGTGTAATTTTTCGTTCGGAATGTACCGATACTTGGACCTGCGACTCACAGAATAATAGCACCAGCACAAAAAAAAGTGGCGGGTGCTTTAACCGCCCGTTTCGAGTAAATTGCGAAAATTGCTAATTTTTTGCTATTTTGTCGGTTTTTCATAATTTACTGTACGTCGAAATACATGTCGGTAAGTGTCGAAATACTTGTCGGTACATTTTGTTTGGTGCCGGAATAATCCAAACGATTTATGGNAAAAAAAAGTGGCGGGTGCTTTTAACCGCCCGTTTCGAGTAAATTGCGAAAATTGCTAATTTTTTTGCTATTTTGTCGGTTTTTCATAATTTACTGTACGTCGAAATACATGTCGGTAAGTGTCGAAATACTTGTCGGTACATTTTGTTTGGTGCCGGAATAATCCAAACGATTTATGGACCTTACCAAAAATTGCCAGATGGCCAGTATTAAAATGTGAGAGGGTAGAATTTAAAATTTATCGCAAAAATTCGAAAGTTGTTATAGAAGTGCAGCCCTTGGTGCTGCCACTGTAATTCAAATATTTCCAGTATTCGAATATGAGATGACTCTAATTTTATCAAAGTAATTTTGTAGAAGTGTCAGTAGTGCTGCCACTGAAACTCGAAGGGATTTTATAAATACGCACATTTAAAGCATAATTCATTTCTTCCAGTAATAGATGTTTAGTTGCAAAAGTTACCAAAATTAAATAAAAGTTACCAAGTTACCAAACCGTTTAAAAGTTACCAATTTTGGTAGAAAGTTACCAATTGTGGCAACCATGCTTGAACGGCTTGATACATTAGCTGTCAAATTCAAAACACACAACATTTTGTCTCAAATGATCAGCAAAATATTACGATCATCTAACACGCTACTGTTCAGTTGTACAAACAACGCGTTCAGAAGGTGCAACCGCAACAGTTACTGAGCTGTTGCGCCTTCTGAACGTGCCCATTGATATGAAACGANTACAAACAACGCGTTCAGAAGGTGCTACCGCAACAGTTACTGAGCTGTTGCGCCTTCTGAACGTGCCCATTGATATGAAACGAAAAATGTTTTTTTATTTTATATTTTTCATACGGACGAATTTTTTCTAAATAACAGCCAGCAATAAAAATAATTTAAAAAATGTATGTAAGTATAAGTAGTAAGTATTTTTAAACTAGCTACGAAATGTAAGTTGTTGCTTTATACGAAAATTACCAATTTAGTTGAAATTCGACAAATTGACCATAGTCGGGAGCTTCGAGATAATAAGCATCTTTTATAAATAAAATAATTGTTATGACTGGTATTTTGAATTTATGAAATCATATAATATATGAAATCATAGCGTTAAATTGAACTAAACGCGGACGGAACAACGGGAATANTTTTGTTACATTTGAAATCATAGCGTTAAATTGAACTAAACGCGGACGGAACAACGGGAATAAGCTAGTACATACATAAGAGCATTTTTTTCTTGAGAGCTACTGATTTAAGAAATTTTGATAGGAAAAAATTTCATTTCTTTTTAATTTCTTGGGCGTTTTTTCATTTGAATTCGTCAAAGCCCCAAATAAGTAAAATTATCCACCTAAGCCTGCTGCATACTACTCAAGTGAAAGAAGGCTTTTCGCTACCCTCATAAATTACTTGAGTTAAGGACTTCTGTATTATCACTAGCCCAGATTAAAAATATACAACGTTTGACATACGAAATCTATTTAGCGACAGAACCGGAGAACGGAGGTTTGGTGGAGCCATACCGACTGATTGAGTTTAAGGCCTCACTGAAATCTGTAAGGTCTATTGACCAGTACGTGCGGCTTGGGACCTGCCACGCCAAAAACAGCCTCCAATGAAAAATGTCTGGAGCCATGCGACGTCTACTACAGCTGCCATGTGAAGGAGAGCGAAATCGGTATTGGATTTGTGGTGGGAAAGACACTCCGTCGCCGAGCACTGTCGTTCACCCCGGCAGACGAGTGTCTAACCACAATCCGCATCAAAGCAAGATTCTTCAACATCTCGTCCTAAGCCCCGACGGAAGAGTAGGACGAGGCACATACGAGCGCTGCTTCCACCATGCTATCAAAATCGTGCTTGGCGACTTCAATGTCAGGGTGGGTAAGAAAGGGATCTTTGGAACCACTATCGGAAAATTCAACCTCCACGACGAGATGTCCGACAACGGACTGAGGCTGATCGACTTTGCCGGAGCTCGAAACATGGTAATACGCAGTACTAGGTTCAAGCATAAAACGATCCGTCAAAGCACGTGGCTCTCTCCGGATCGATAAACAAGAAACCAAATCGATTGGGCTTTGATAGACGGACGTTTTAGGGGTGAGTACATTCCGAGGGCCAAAATCGACTCAGGCCACTTTCTTGTTGTAGCCAAGATACGCACACGCCTCTGTGCAACCCAAAATGGGCGCCCAAAAATGCTGGAAGAGCTTAATGTCGAAAATCTGCAATCCCAGCAGACGGCCAATGCATTCGCTACTCGACTCTCACACCTGCTCTAAGAGAGCACTCTTCAATAAACCGACAAAATCGAGCAGTAGAATCACAATTTCCGTTCATTAAGTACCGCCGCCGAAGAAGTAGTCAGATTTCAGCGAGCCCGAAAGAACAACTGGTACGATGAGGAGTGTCAATCAGCTGCAGAGAAAAAAGATGCCGCCTACAGGCCTACGCTGCGATCGGGCGCAACGGGAATTTGCCTCAATAAGAAAAGAGAGGCAGAAATAAGTGAGTGCGAAGAGCTTGAAATGCTGGCCGATAGGAAAAATGGCCGAAAATTTTATCAGAGGGTTGGGTGCTTACTGAAGGTTTCCAGACCAGGGCGAAATCCTGTAAGAACAACCAAGGCGACCTCATGCCACATTACGGAGGGAACACTTTTCCACCCTATTGAATATAAGGCGATTCAGAAATTAAGTCCTCTATCGACGTACGAAAACCACACTCTATAAGTCACTCATCATACCAGTGCTAGTATTTGACGCAAAAGCCGAATTAAACTACAGCGGCTCCTTTGACTTGACCATGTCGTTCGAATGATCTCCGACGCTCTAAAAGTATTCAACTCGGAAACCGCTGGTGGGAGGGAGGCTCCCACTGTGATAGAAAGACCAAGTGGAGAAGAACTTGGCTCCACTTGGCATTTCCAATTGGGGCAGTTGGCACTGAAAAGAAGCGGTTGTCGTACTTTTGTTGTAAGCGGCCGAAATTGCTTAGGCGGTTTCAACGTCAAATAATAAGAAAAATATAGAATAATCCCAGGCGGTGATATGATTACAAATTTCGACTTTTCTTGTTTTGGACAGCCCTAGTGTACATATTCGAATCAATAAAAATATAATGTATGTAGCTATGATATACGAGTAGGATAGGATAGGAGATGTGGGTGAAGTGCAAAGGGTAATTGATATAAAACTAAACTTATGCCAATTTGCTTACGTGCTGTTGTTGTTGTCGCAGCACTTTGTTGCTGTCTTTTCCGCTGCTTTATACTTTTTTGGCACTATTTTCGCTGCTGATGTCGTTTATATTGTTTTGCTTTTGGTCTCCCATTCTCTATGCTGCTGAGAAGTATTGCTTTTACTGCTTTTAGTTGTTATTATGTATTTAATTTTTTCTTTTTATTACGGGTTTATTTTTATTAAATTTGTTTTTGTTTTTTCAAAGCAATTTATATATAGGACAACTCTCCGTGTCTGCATAGATGAATCCAATGGTCAACTTTTTTGTTATTACTTTGTCAGCAGACTTGGCCTTTTAGAGAGCGTTGTACGTTTTTATTTTTTTATTTTATTTTATTTATACTATTCTAGTACATATTATACTTGACTGATTTTTTTTAAGTTGAACTTTTCACTCTGTGTAGAGAAAATATCGTCATTGCACTATTTCCAAGCTGCCCATATGCGTAAATATTTACTTTCTATTCCTGGCGTTCGCGGCAAAGTACCTACTGGTAGCTAGTATTTGTGGCGTCTAGAAGTGCATTCAAACGGGGGAAATTACTAAGTGAGCGCAAACAGAAACTAACAAGTAAATATGTATGTATGTATGTACTTTTGTAAACGCATTTGTATGTATTTACTTATGTGTGCGTGCGCGCAAGTAGCAAGTGAAACACTTAAGCGTGTTAATACGCATTTATTTCTAAGTTTTCACTACTTGTTCGTTGTTAGAAACTTTAATTTCCACAGCTATTTCCACAATTTTCTTTTGAACTATTTAGAAAATAGTTACAATGGCTAGTGTATATTTATTTAAAACAAAAGCACTTTCAAAAATCACTTTTTACAAAATAAGTTTATATGCACATACTATACTATATGCATGACATAATGTATGTATATGTTTGTATTTAATAAATGCTCGCGCCCAAGCAACGCTGAATTTTGAATAAGCCAAGTTAAGCGGCAGAAACACTAAGCTTACAATTAGTTATGGTGTAAAAGCAACCGCACAGCTCCACAAGGTTGGAATGTATGAGAGTGCTTCATAGCTTGACTGGCTGACTAGCTGCTTCGGTATGTTCGGCTTGAAGTTTACTATAGCAGTCAACACACAGCTATAAACACCTAAAGTAAACACATCGGCATATTGGTAAATGCAGACAAGAGTAGCAGACAAGACAAGTTAAGAAAGCATAACAAAATACATACACATACAAAAAGTTATTGAAATACACTAACAGCTTGAAAACTCGTTTTAGCGCAAAAAGAAAAAAATCAACTAGTTTTGGAGCGAAATGTGAACGAAGTGAAGAAGTAGAAGTGGAAGCAGAAGAAAACGTCGGAAAATATACATATGTATGTATCTATAGCGAGTGCCTACTGCAAGACTTTTGATTTAGTATACATATATTTTTCATTATTTATATGTTTTAGGAAAAAGGTCTATATCGATGAGATAGAGTGTATTTTAAAGGTGTTCCCGTAATGAGCTTTGCGCCTCTCATATATCTCCCTCTTGTATATCTACCCTTATAAAGTGCGCGTTTACTTGTGCTTAGTTTGAGATCGTTAGATAAAGGAACGTCGATTCTCTCTGTAGCTTTTATTTTTATTTTTTTTGCACTATCCAAGGGGTATGAGACTGTCCATAGCTTTTGCAGATAGATAAGAACATTTCTCAATTTAAAAGAATTGTTTAACGCTCGGATTATTTTCAACTTGAAGATGAAACCAAAGACGATATCTACGAGCCAAATCTGATAAGTATTATGTCATTTTATTTCTTTAGCTTTCGGTGCTAATATTGCACCCTCATCAGAATTATACTAAAACAGGTAAAAAATTAGTCACATAATCATAGCACTAATATTTATCAGCCATAGAGTACTTACAAAAATCTGTGCTAATATATATATGTGTGTTTAACGCAAATTAAGCTGCGGCACCATGGATTGTCCATCGTATTATACACACATATATGTATCCGCAACTTGGTCAATTTGGCGGTATGGCGGTATAAAGGTTTATTGTACATATACTAGTCCGAGAGAAGGAATTGTTTCATTGCCTACTTCGTCGTCTTTGACTGGAGGCGCGTGGTCATCTTCTATACTAATTTCAGTTTCAGTAACAGGGTATACATGCATTTTTTCCATAATGTTAGCACGCTCTGCAAATCGGTTAATACGCCATCATGGTTGTTATTACAGGAATCTGCACTGGTCTTGGAGCTTTCTGTAAACCGCTTAACCTTGTAATAGAACTTTTGGAAGTTTCTTATATTGACCAGCATCTCAAGCTCCGCCGAATAGATTTACAACCACCAGACTAAGTATGATGAGCTATAAATAGCGGTTTCTCAGATGAAACACATCAAAAGTTGCTGAAATAACAGTCTGCCAACTGGGATATTCAAGTAGGAAGGCGTGGAGTTAATTAGCATAACCTACAGAATATCGTCAGATGAACGCATGAATTATGCCTGAAATTTAAATAGGCTCTGCCCAATCCATATCCGCCAACTACCGTGGGATCAGCTTTCATCAGCATCGCATACAAAGTTTTATCGAGCGTATTGTGTGAGAGATTGAAGCCCACCGTCAACGAACTAATTGGATCTTGTCAGTGTGGTTTTAGACCTGGAAAATACTGACAAAGAAAGACTCTCGAAAATGGGATATACACGCACCATCTATTTGTCGATTTCAAGCATGAAAAAAGTTGTCTCTAGCGAATTCAATAAATTTTTAAAAACTTTTACCCCATATTGAATCCGTCATATTGTAAGTAACATTTTTTAACGAAGTTTTGATTATGTAATCAATTTCTTTTAATTTTGTGGAGAGGGGGGCTTCAGTAGACGAAGAATGCCTCATCTGTACATTCATACAATAGGCGGCAAGTGAGAGTGTATACTTTGTTCTATTATAATATTCACAATTATTTTCATGAAACATTTTTTGCACTCATTTTTTATGAAAATGTAGTTCATTTTATAACATAAATCCTATAAATGAATGTTTAACACTTTATATAAAGTTCAAAAAAATTAACAAATGCTCATAAAAACTTTAAACTTTTTATTCGGACTTTCAAGAAAATTTTCGAGTATACAGTTTTGTAGCCCATACAATTTTGGTCTAACTAAGTGCGACTTTAAGTTGCTGAATTTTTATGAATTTTATAAAAATAGTGGAACTTTGATTTATATGGTTTAAATATATTATAGAATGAACTATATTTGCATAAATAATTAATGCAAAAAATTGTTTATGAAAATATATGGGAGTGATATACTAGAAGAAGGTGTACACTTTCCTTTGTCGCCTACTGAATATTAAATTTGGACTTTTTGACCAAAAACCAGAACACTGAATCCATTGTAACCAAAACTTCCAAAGACACAACACGAATTAAGTTTTACATTCCATATGATAAGCCTCATAGTATTCAAAAAAAATGACCAGCATGCAAAAAATCGCCAGATTTTGCTAATTTGACTAGCGATAGCTTGGAAACTTCAGCATTTAAAGCTCAAACAGTCAACGACGTAGCTAGACGTAGGTTGACGCAGACACGATCTACCTTATGGGATTCGCGTGTTAACGAAAACTCACCACCGCATGGCGGTGACGTTGCCGTGGCTTCTCTCCCTCTTTATCAACAGTAACAGTAACAGCCGCTGGAGTCGAGTTATCATTCAATATTCGTATTTTTGATCCGATTTGACGTATTGGTAAAGATAGCGAAAACGTTGGACCAAACGTTTCAATAAAAAAAAAAATAATAATTTTGGGCGGAACGAACTTCGCCGGGTCTGCTAGTAATAAATAAATATGAAATTTGAGCTTGATTAATACATTTTTAAAAACTTTACGGCACAAAAACAAAATCAAATCGATTTAATAGTTTTCCAAATATCTCGGGAACGGAGCGAGCAAAAAATTTGAGAAAATCACACATACACACATCCAAATTCTCTATGAAAAGAAATATATTTTTTATTTGTTTTTTCTTGAAAAATTATTCACATAAAAATTTTTTGATAAAAAAAATAATTTTTGAAAATATGCCATCTCAAAAAAAAAAAATTTTTGATAAACAAAAAATAATTTTTGAAAATATGCCATCTCAAAAAAAAAATTGAAAAAAAATCACAATGGCAGCTATGAGTTTTGCGCAATGTTTAAGTATAGCATTACGGGGTGTACTCTACAAAAATTTGAGTTATGCATTTGTTTTTTTACAGCGAGGTTGAGTCAAAGAGAACATTACAAATTTACAAATTTTTTAAATTTTTTGTTAGAATTTTTTGAGTATGCAGTTTTGTAG